ATTCATTAATCTCATTCATGCTATCACAACTGTCTCTGTTTTTAACTGAAAGCACTGGGCACACTCTCTCTCTCTCTCTCTCTCTCTCTCTCTCTCTCTCTCTCTCTCTCTCTCATGACGCTGAGACAGGTCTATTACTGCCAGGCTCATTGTTTGTTTCTTGTCCACTCTGCAAAACAAAGTCAGTGTTCTTGTCCTCTAGGTAACCTCAGCAGTTATGCAAGCTCAAAAGTTTTCTGTTCTAGTTTCCAATATCAACCTCAAAATCTCAAGTGTCCTCCCAGATCTATCTTCATGCTGTGAAACTAAACACAGTTCACAGAACTAACACACACCATAACACTGAAAATAACAAATCTAATAGAAAACAGTCAGGTTACTGACAGGGAGGATTATTTTTCAAAGTAGTATTTGTTGCTCTGTGTGTTCTTGGCTGCAGAGAGATGACTCAGATTTGTTATTCTGCTGATAAACAATATGACTTTGTCCTCAAATAATACACAGTAACCTCTTACAGGGGTGTGTGTGTGTGTGTGTGTGTGTAAGGGTGTGTCCATTAGAGTGAAATCACTCATTAGCTGTCAAACTTTAGGTGTTCTCTCTCTCTGCTGTCATCCAGCACCATGCAATATCTGTGTCCCACTCCACCTCCTTCACCACCTCAACCATGGACGCCTGACCATCTCCAATCAAACCATCCAATCAGAAGTTTCCCTCTCATGAAGATGGTCCCATCCTCCAGCTCCACTCTTCATCAGCACCACCACCACCACCACCAGTGTCTTGGCCCTGGGGGAAGTCTCCTCTAATAGGAAGCACCGTTCTGCTTCCCATGGTGACCCACTTCCTGCCAGGGTCTAAGTGCTGAACACTGTTCCTCTTGTTCACAATAAATTTCATTTTACTTCAGATTTCTCATACACAGACCTGTGTCACAGTTATTAAGCTATTTAACTTGATTTCTCAAGTGTAGACTCAACTTACAACAGACTTAACCAACTTGGAATTTTGCTCCTGTTAACTTATAAGTTAGAGTAACGTATCATTTAACATATTTCGTTTAAAAAAAACTCAGATGTATTCTACTGTTTCATATTAGAAAAACGTTTGTTTCTGTGCATGTTCTTTTGTAAATTTAATGCCAGCTGTCTTATTCTTTGAGTTTATGAGTGGTTTCCACCATGTCACTCTACCTCTGAACCAATGCTCACTGATCCTGTTTCGAACGGTCTGTGGACTGAGTTGTATGTGATAAATCTCATTGATCTCTGAAGCGTTCTTTGCTGCTGTTTCTCACTGGCTTTTCTTGTTTTTACCCACAAACATACAGTCCAGTCTGCTGCTGCTCTTTCTGCTTCTGCTTGCACACCTTCTGTTCTCAGCCACAGGTCCTCCATCTTTGAACTTGTTGACAATAGACCCAACTGTGGTGGATGGACGATTGAGTTTTTGCTGATCTGATAAATAGAGTGGTCCTCATCATTTGTCTTTGTCATTTGCTCCAGTTGCTGTTAACCAGGCTTGTCCAAAGTCCGGCCCACAGGTCAGACTGATTTTAAATGGCCCGTAGCTTGTCTGTTAAAATATACTGCATGTGGCCTGCCACACAGTATTGGTTAATCAAGTGTTAAGTTACTCAAAAATGCCCTTATCTCTCGTATGTTATAGTGATTTGTAGCATTTATTAATTGTTTATATAGGACTGCAGTGTATGGGAGTATGCTGCGAGGACAGGAAGAGGAAGAGAGCAGTCTGCATTCTGGTTTAATGGTAAATCCACATACCTTAATAGTAGGTCATACAGGTGTGTATTTCCATGTAAAATCACATTATTTATTATTTAACAAAATAAAAGAAAATCACTTTACAGTAGATTTGAAATAGAATAAAATTTGATCAAATCATTCAGGTTCTTGCTCAGAACGGTCTGATGAGTATTGGACACAAAGTGGATGACAGTACAAAATATAGTGACTACACAGAACAACACAGGACAAATGGTTAAATCCCTGTATAAACAGATTATTTACTCACTTCCAAATCAGCACCATAAAATACATGTAGTGGCAGTTTATGTACCAAACATACTGCAACTAAAAAAGTACAGTACAGGAATAATTAAGCATATTCTCACTATATCAGCCAAAAAAAAAAAAACTCATCAATAAAAGCCAATGTTGTTAAATAACCCTACAACATACAAAACAGATAACTGTTAACAATGACAACAGGACCATCATTGACAATAAGCTGAATTCCACAATAGTGAAACAGGTCATAAGATAGCACCATTCAACCCCTCGGAGAAGATTGAGGCCTTTTGTGTTAACTAACACACACACACACACACACACACACACACACACACACAGACACACACATACACATACACATACACACACATACACACACACACACACACACACACACACACACACACACACACACACACACACACACACACACACACACACACACACACAGATGAATGTGAGCTCCATTACTATTTGAAAAGGGCTGATAAGGCAATGATGATATTTTTGAACAGCAGCTGCTGGTGAGACATATTTAATGTTGATATTAATATTGAATGTCTTAAAGATAATAAGCAGTTTTCCTCCCAACGTTTACTGTCAGCTGGGAAAAGCTTCTAAAAACAGCATTTAAAGCAGTGAAAAATGAAGAAGCTCTTGCTCTCAGACCCTATTTCCACCTGGTATGAACAGGTGACCTGAATCTATATGTGAATAATGTCATCTTATCATGGGCCTCTGTATTTACACATGCTGCAAATAAGTGTTCTTCTTATCTTTACTCTGTCTGTAATCTGATCAGATCTCAATATGCAAATTGGGCAGGCAGAGCTGGTGTATCTATCAACAAACATGGTGACAAACACCAAAGGCCAATTAGCATTTGAATAAGGAGCATCAAAAACTAGACCCTGCAGGTGCAATAAGTAGTTCCTGCTGCTGATGGCCTTTGTAGCATTTCTCATTTAACAAAGAATTGGTAGGAACCGCCCATTTTATTATGACGTGCATCTGCATCTGCACTACATGAAAATCTAAAAGCTCTGAGACTGTGCCTAAGTCAATGAGCCAAACCAATTTAGTGACAAGGTGAGAGGTTATCAATAAAAAAAAAGATAAACAGCTACTGATAAGCTGCTCTTTGAGGCTGTGGTCACACTGTGCAGATGTCATTTACACCTGCCTGAGAACCTGCCTCAACGTGTGACCACCTCCAGGTAGATTTATTATGAGGATCTGATTCATCTCTCTCATTTGCACAGGCAGAAGGAAATGTCTGTACACAGTGCATGTGAACTGGGAACTGGGAATTCAATAATAATCAATGTTTCGACATCAACCACACTGACTTCCAAGGGAAAGTAATTACCTATACAGCGTCCCATGGTATCATTACCAGCTGTAATACTGCAGGTGGACTGTGGGGTAAATGTATATCGCAGGAGAAAAAGCAAGCAGGTGAGCAATTATCTGTTAGTGTGAGAGAGCGGTGACATGTATGGGTGAGGGAGATGAATGAATTAAGGCTGACAAGATGATAAAAGGAGTCATCCTAATGCTTGTGTTAATTGGTGGATAGTTGTTAGCAAGCTTGAATGTTATTATTGCCAGTAAACTGCTAAAGTGCAGAAGTTCTTCTTCCTCTGATGTTTTTGTCAGTTACCAAACAGCTTCCAGTCCCCTGGACTGGAGCAGAGTTGACCCTGACTTGCAAGTAGCCTACAAACCCAAGACCAGTTTTAATCAGAGTGGTGATCTGGCCAATGGAGATCCATCTATGTGCCTAAGTATAAAAGTGTTTCAAATAGTGTCTGGATTTTATGCAGATGCGAGACACTTGAAATGACAAGTGTAAATGGGGTCTCTGTCAGATATGATGGTGAAATGTAATGTGGCCAAAATAATCTCACTGCCAGAAAAAAAAAAACAGCCAAGAATTTAAAGGTTTAGATTTGATTTGTTTGTGTAATTGTTGACATGAACTTAATTGTGTTTTGTGTGCACCAGCGATGTCATAAGAGTTCATCTTTCAAGGCCTCGGTTCACTTCAAATGAAGTTGGATTGTCTAATCCGACCACCCTGCTGTGAGGCCGCAGTGGTAACCCACGCGTTCATGGTTTAGCAAGCTAAACCAAACCCATGGTCAGGATGACCAGCACTGAAACAGCCCATGAACCCCACCTACTGACAAGCCAAACAACTAGTACGGGGAAAAGGAAAATGTTAGCACTGAGGTGCACAGTTGATCTAAGTGGTAAACGGAGTAACATTGTTGGCAAGAAATGGTTAAATCCATCAGCTGGACTGTAACTGAAAGAAAAATAAAACACCACCAAGCACCATACGCCATGTTCTGCTACATGGGCTATCCATGGCCCTCAAACAGGCCAGTGGATCAGTGGGTCTCCTATCATTAGCTGGGTTGATTCACTGTAATCCTACAGTATATTTCCATGGCTCCTACAGAATTACAGTATACTCAATTAATACTTAAGTATCATAAGTTTACCTATATATAAACTTATTTACTAGTTATTTGAAATTGCGACACTTAGCTATAATACAGTACAACAGGTAAAACAATACATAGGAGAGCATAATTAAAGAAGAGAGGGGAGGGGAAAGCTCTGGCTAACTCCCATGTTATCTGATAGACCTGCCAGAAAAAGTCTACTTCAAAAATCAAGCACTTATTTTCAATCATTCTGTGCAATAAAGCCACCTGGACTGGCTTTCCAAAGGCTCCTCCACTTTTTTTTGTTTTGGTGTACAGCAAAAGAAATATTGGACATTTTCAAGTCTTCATCAAAACTAGAAGCTTATGAGCCCATTTCAAATGTACACTTATGTGTACTTGCCATTTTCTTTTTTTTTTAAATACAAAAAGTTCCATCAATAATAGAAATTGTTTTCTTATTTAACAATATTAAAAACATTTACAAAATGGAGCGCTATTCGGAGGAAAGTAGATTTGATTTGGTCATTAGCTCTTGTGCAGTATTTTCTTGGCATAAAAGTCCCTACAGGTTTCACAGCAGCGCTGGTACCACCTCATGTCCTGACAGAGGTTCTTCTCCCGGATCACACGACAGTACACCGTCCACTGGTCCCCCATGCATTTGTAGGTCAGAGCAGCTGGGGAGGGGGACAGGAGAGAGTCAGTCAGCAACTTGTCATTAACAAGTCCTCCAAACCAAACAGTGAAATATGTTGTTTGTAATTTGTAATTACCTTCCACACCATCCTGGGTTTGTTTGTGTTTAGCATTATTATTATATACAGTAGTGTTATGTTGCTGTGAGTTGCATTTTCTGTAATTAAATAAAGTTTTTTTTTAATTTCTTTTAAGTATTTTTTATATCATGGTGGCACTCGTAACCAAATCCCTTTTGTGGACTCCGGTCTGCGTCCTGAACCTCTTCCAGGTCACTCTGGTCAGCTTTCCCCAACGTTTGGCAGCAACAGGAGGGTTTCAGGCCGGTAGGAAGCAGTGAAGAACAGGCTTTAAGTGTGAAGAGGTTCGAGATGTCTTTGACCAGCAGGGTGGAGCAGTCGACCTCATGAGTATGGAAGTATGGCTCGCCCAGCCTTCTGCAATGTTTGATGTAGCAACAGGAGGAGAGGAGTGCCCAGCTCCAGTAGGAGGTGCAGCAGGACTGCCAGACTGTCAGCTGTTGGAAAGTGCAGCAGCCGCCCCGGCCCCCGTCGACAGAGCCTACAACAGACCCGCCTGACATCCCAACTATTTAAGAGAAGGCTGTTGCTGATCCGTTGCTGTTGGATAATGGAGGACAACATTCCAGTCTGATGAGGTTCTTTGGGTGATAAACCCCCGATGTGCTGCCATGGAGTGAGGGTGAGGGCAGGGACGCTGTCTAATCACCTTCAATATAATTGCTTGTGTCTGTCAGCAGCCTTAGGATGAGAAGGCTCTTCATCAAAATCACTGAATCATCATGGAGTATAACCCTGAGTGTCCCAGCGGGATCAAAGAACAAAATCCCAAAGAAGCAGAACTGACTGAAACTTTCCTGGCTGCCCATCGTTCGTACGACGCGGTCTAACCATGTACAAGGTTTTGACCGAGTCTTGTTTGAAAAAATTGAGACCATCTAGCAACCTGACCACCTCACTCACCCCCTCCTCAACCTCTATGCAACTTTTGGCACGATCAACCACACCATTCTCTTCCCCTGCCTTGAATCCTCCCTCAACATCACCGGTACTGCCCTCTCCTGGCTAAGGTCATATCTTACAGACACCAACAACTGCACTTCCTCCACTGCTCCTCTGTCCCAGGGCGTCTCCCAGGTTTCGGTACTTGGTCCTCCTCTATTCATCCTCTACATCATATGTTGTCATGGTCTGCACTTCCATTGCTATGTGTACAAAATCCCAGCAAAGCTGTTGATGAGGAAGGAGCTTAAGGAGCTGTACTTTCCCTCTTAAACTGAGGCTGCAGTGTTCACAGATCTTACTCATCTCACAGCAGATCAGTGCCAGAGGAAGAGCTCTTCACCTAAAGCCAAGCTGTACGCACCTCATTAAACATAAGATTTACCTGCTGTCACAGGGACAGCAGCTCATCGGGGATACCACCTGCTGACTTCCAGCCGTTCACTATAGCTAGAGGTAGAGGAGATGCTCTCATTTCCATATAGAACTCAAAGCGCGTTTCCCTACACATATAGCACTTTTCTACCATGCACACACATCCACACACACCGATGATACGTCAGGAGCAATTTGAGGTTCATTATCTTGCCCGAGGACACTTTGACATGTGGACTGGAGGAGCCGCAGATCGAGCCACCTATCTCCTGATTAGTGGACGACCCGCCCCATACTGACAACAGGAGTCAGCGAGCTTTCTCGCAGTGAGTGCTGCAGCCCTGTAGTGCTGGTTCCAAAGAAAGAGGGGTTTTTTTGTGTCTAATTTTCAAAGTTGAATTCTCGATCTCTACGCTATGCCGAGGGTTGATTGAGCGCTTGAGAAATGCCAACTTGCTGATGACCTTTCACCTTTCCAAACGGTACTGGCGAGTGCCCCTCGACAGAATCTTCAGAGTTCCAAGAGATGATGTCCTTCCGTTTGCACAGAGCACCAGCAACCTTCCAGAGTGTTAGTGGGTGAAGCTTTGAGAGGAAGAGAAGGCTACACAGCAGCCTCCACTGATGTTACTGTTATTTTCAGATGGACCTGGGAGGTGAATTCAAAACCCCATGAGAGCTGTAGCTGCTGAATGCTCTGTTGGCTCAGGGGTCTTTAGTTATGAGCTGTAGTAAGGGATGTTTAACCTTTACACCTGTAAGCCTGAGCTGTGACGAGGGTCTCACCTAGCCTGGGGGATGTGATGGTGTTCACATTGATTTTCTCGTTGCAGGCCCCATGGTGACAGGGTCGGTAGGTCGGTGGTCTCAGTGTCACTGGGCAGTCGTTACCGTGACGACCAGTCACTTTGTGCATACACTGGACCACTCGAGACTGCAGGCCCTTCCCACAGGATGAAGAACACTGAAACAGCAGATGAAAGGTTGAAAGGTGTCAGTTGGGGGTTGTAAGTCAACACAGATGGTTTTTCATCCCATCTCAATTCGGATGTGCCTGTAAATCCCCCTGAAACCACAAATCATCATTTTTACCTCTGTTTCTGTACAAGTGGAACAAATGAGATAGACTAGACAGGTCACCAGTCTATCACAGGGCTGAACACAGAGAAAGACAAACATTCACAGCTAATGGGCGATTTGGAGTCATCAGCTACCCTAACCTGTAAACTGGAGCAGGTAGAACATGCAAACTGCACATACAAAGACCCAGGCTGGCCACAATACAGCTGCATGAAGACATGTAAATTATTACCATTCTTATTAATATTTTTTTTTTTTACAATGTTTTCTAAACCTTCAGACATATGGAAGAGGTTTGCATTTGGACAGATAATTAGCGACTGAGTCTACATGTGCGCAATTACTGAGTCTACATGTGTCACTGTTGGGAAAGCCCTTTTCCTCATAACCTTGTTACACAGCTAAGGTTGTTGAAAACTTTGCTCGTGTAAAATGAAGCTGCACCGAATCATATATACAGACATGGCAGCCAACTTGTTCCAATGAAAGCAAGTGTAAACAAAATAGAAATCTCTTTCCAGCCGGGGGAAGGATGGTGCAGTCTAACGGCTTCCCTGCCATTATTGTCTACCTCTGGCTGACTGCACTCATATGAACGGTGTCATGAGATGAGATTCTAATTTCTGTGGCCACTAAATCAGAATTGGCACACAGCCCATGTGTGGATGAGACATATGTGTTCTTACTGCTGATGAAACATCATAGAAAAGGGAGCAAAGGGTCTACTGTTCCTGATAAAGACAGAGATGACACCACATAATGATTCTCTGTGCACCCTGAACAGCGGTTTGATATCACAGACTCTGTGTATATAGGTGTCAGGCCACGGGGGGTTGGTCCCAGGAGGAAACTGAAGCATGAAGCTGTTTCTTTAATCATTTTTATCTGGTGCACGGAGCGAACAGTCATCCTTGCAACCATTAAAAAAATAAAACGGCTGTGTGCCTTCTGCTCTATCCGTCTCACTGGCTTGTTCTGAGAGCAGGAAGAGATGTAGTGTACTGTATCATTACTGCACCTTCACTCAGCACACTGTGCATACATCATTAAAATACATTTTGTGAGTTCATCTGTCAATTTGTGCATGTAGCTGTTAGGAATGTCTAAATATGTAGCTGACAAATTCAATTAGGAGGCAGAGCTGCTACATTTTGCACAACTTATTTATCAAAAACTTCTTGATCCACATGTTAAAGGTCCTGGTTCAAAGCTATTAACTTGATCAACTTTAACTATTGATATGATATGAGCTGAAGTTTAACTGGGAGGCTGCGGCTCCTGAGACTGATGCAACGTGATCAGCTGGAGAGAGGATGTATCTGCTGGCTTCATTTTCATCTGAAGCTTTAAATCACCTGTAACTTTCATTTTCATTGTTGAGTTTTCACACACACTTTGACCACCAATTAACTACATTCAAATTGTTCTACTGTAGCTGTGGCCTCATGTCTGAAGGAAAACTGTCTAAATGTAAATGCACCTTACGCATTTCATTATTTCAATTTAATGACTTTCTCACACACACATACACACACACACACATGCACGCACGCACGCTCGCACGCACACACACACACACACACCTGCTCAGAAATGTTTAATGGTATTTCCACTGTGTGTGGAGCTTGAACAGGATATATTGTAACAGCCACAGTCTGAGTCACTTGTAATTTTGTATAATTAAAGGATTTCTGTTTAAGAAGTCGAAGCGAACAGCCAGGAGGATTTCATCAAACGGTTTCTATTAGTGAACTGACGCAACTGAATCAACATAAGTGATTAGACTGTGATTACACGCTCAGATGAGTTTAGCTGTTGGACAGATGCAAAGAAGTGATGATGAAGAGCAGCACAACTGGAACCACAGCAGTCTGATGGACAGGGGAGGCTGAGGGTCCAGCGACTGATCCTGGAACTGATTATCACATGTTTGAATCTACTGAGAGATGTGCTTGGATGTTTAATATTATAAATGAACTCATTCAGCACATTCCATAGCATATAGCCCGATTAGCTCCAACTAGTGCCTGTTCAAAACCTGCTTGTTATGTAATTAATAAAAATTTCATTTATCTTTTCATCATCATCATCTCATTTCCATGTCACTGCAGTGTTATGATAATAATAATAATAATCACTCAAAAGAATTGCTGTGACACATACACTCACTTGCATAATATTTTGTCCGTCTCATTTATAAGAATTAAGGCTGACAAAATATTAGGCACACCTCTCAGTATAACCCAGTACAGGTCAACAGCTTCATAAATTACTGCCTCCAAAACGACCATTAAAATAAATCAACATCCTCTGAAACAGATTCAATAAAAACTGAACATTATGATCCTCATTCAGGAGGATTTACTGCAGGCCTGTTATATTACACTGTGTTAGTTTTATCTAGGTGTACCTAATAAAGTGGAATGTGAGTAGATTACTTTAATCACTATGTGTCACAGCAGCCCTTTCCCTGAACTGGAGAATCAATGATTTTACTGAAGAACTTCAACCTTAAAATGTGTCTGACATTGGCTTCATTTCATCTGTGGAGTCATAGGCATTAAAGAAAATCACTGGTAAATGTATTTTTGCATCAGCAAGGAAAATATTAGGAACTAGAGTGAGTTTAGGCTCATACATGACCAGTAAAGAAAACAGACAATACACAGTGGCTGAATAACAGTGTTAGATGATGCATGGGGTAACGTTACGTTACCATGACAGCAGTGTGGCATACATTACCTGTTCCACTTGTTGTATATCTCTGTATATCAGCTTAGGCAGGGATAAAAAGTAAACAGTCCGGTGCTGTCTTGTTGTTGCTGCGTCTTAAACAAAGTACTCTGGTATGCTTTTGCTTCAGCTCTGTGCAGAGCTGCTGTGAGAAGCTGTTTCCAGTTTCTGTCCTAAACACACTTCAGATGATCTTGTGCAGCTTTTGCAGCTGCAGCTTGTAGCTTTAACCAGGCGCAGCCATCTCTGCACCATTGCTGTAATAAATGACCCTGGTTACGTGGATGCGTCTCAACAACTGTCATTAAATGTTTCTGTTTTTATATCTCCTGACAACTGCTCATCCGAACAACTTCACAGTCAAAGCTGCACTTCCTTGGGTCCTCAGCAACACAGCCACCAAGTTTGAAGTCGATCGAATGAGCGGTTATCGAGAAAATTAAAAGACAAAAAGACAGAGATTCCTTCATTTATATTTAGATGATGCCCTGTTGGAAGATGTTCTTTCACGACTGCTGAGTGGAAGGTCGTTTCCTTGTTTGCCTGAGGAATCGTTACTTTTCAGCGCTACAGAGGGATTCTGTGAGTAAAGAGCAAGAACATCTGGACCAGTCATCAGGCTGGTTTCAGTTTATAAAGTCTTTTGGCAGCTGAAACTGATACTAAGAAAAGAATTCTCGAATTGGCAGAATAAATAACTGAGTTACGCAGAGCTGATGCTCAGTGGAGCAGGACTCTCAACCACTTACAGTCTTTAGGTATTTAGATAACTAAAGGCTTTGGAATACCATAAGTGCCTGCTAGAATTGAATACTGTGGGTGTAAAGACTAGAGATTGTATCTTAACATAGTCACATAAACTGGAGTAAAGAAAATCTGATTTCTCTTATTCAACGCAAGAAGACATGGGAGTCAATGGCAGGTGTCAGTCCAGCCACAGTCTTTCTGCTATATGCGTTTTATTATCATAACTGCTGCTGCTTCTGAATCTTATGAAATGTTATGAAGTCACAAATGCGCGCCTCCGCAGAGGTGCGGTCCTGCTGTGGCCCGCTGGCTGAGCTCGAAGCGGAGCTTAAGACAGTGAAATATTCATTGGGGGCAGCGGTGTGGTGACTGACCGAGTTCAGACACTGAGGTGGGAAAGATGCACAGGTTCACTGAGCTCGTTAGCAAAGCAGTGTCGAAAACATCAGCTGCAGCTTCTCATCTTAGCTCGCTGCTGAGCGTCGCTTTCGGGTGACATTGGCCCCACAGATGGATTGCCTCCCACCCCTGTTGACCAATAAGAGACTGGTCTCTACCTGGAGGAGGTTATTTAGATCTTATCAAATCTTTGCCGCTGTTGTTTGACTCTGAAGAAGACGCAGCGCACGGCAAAACGTTAGTTGTCCTGTCCCTCTCTGATGGCACCGACCTACATCAGTGGAGTGGCTGAAGCTCAAGAGACTCCTCTCACTTATCACAGATAGTTTGTGAGGGAAGAAGCTCCACTCTAACACTACAGCCCAACCACCAGTGAGTGCTTCTTTAGTTCATACAAAACCTAGTCAGACATCTTCTTCTCAATCATAATTACATTCTTATTGAATAAATACAGAAAGAAATCATTAAAAACCTAGTGTACTTTTTATATTCTAATGAATTAAATAATTTTGCTTGTTAATCGGGGGGGTGGGGGTGTTCTTTTTCTTCTGAAAAAGAACAGATGACTGGTTGGCATGTGTCAAACTCAAATCTCTACAATCACTCTGATGGTGAATATTATCAGACAGGTTGGAATCAAACCTGCAGCTTAGCCGAACAAAGCAAATATTATTCAAATTATTACCCAAACTGTCCATCACAGCTCACAGACCCTCCTCCTCCTGCAGCTTTTACCTACTGTACTGACTGTACTGTTCGTATAATCTTGATAAACTGCTGGTGTTTTAACAACCTGTCTGATCGTCGTCCTGTCACGCTTCTTGAGCTGAAGCTGATAGGAACAGAATCCAACAGTGTTTTATAGAAAGATTATATCCTGCCTAAATATTGCAAGAATTGAATCACGCTCATGACTTGTTTGTTTCCTGAATTACAGAATGAATGAGTGAATGAATGAGTTTTCATGGAAACGATAACTAATCCTCTCCTCATCTAACTCTGTCCGAACCATACTGTACATGAGCCATGGGGTTGGGAATCAGCTGTACCTTGGACCAGTCTCCAGTCTTCCATTCATAACATCTGGAGTGGTCCTCACAGGGCTCCTCTTGAGTGGGCTGGGACAGAGGATCACACAGACCCTGAGGGTTTGTACACGACACCACCCGTCTGCGGACGCCTTGACCACAGTCTGAGGAACACTGCAGGAAGTGAGAATAGATAGAAAACAGGACAGTGTAAACGAATGAGGGCTAAATGAGTTATTTTAAAGAATAAAGCGGGTTAGTTTTATCTTTTTTAACTATCACCAATTTCCCTGAAGAGATGAAAATGAACATAAGAAGAAATGATCCTGCTGACAGGACAGCCTCAGGTGGTTTCTTTCTCTGCACCACTGTTTTCCAAAGACACATTAAGGAGCCAAACCTCAGTACTGGTTCACACTTTTTTACAAAAGACTTTTTGATTTTATTGTGACCTTACTGCGATAAACATGGGTGCTGTTAATTTAATGTTGGGCATTTATACTGCTCTGTCGCTGAGAGGAGGAAACATCACTTGTTCTGTTTATAACAGTAAAGGAATATGTAACTTACAGGGAAACAATCTTTTTTTTTTTAAAGTATATTTTTTGGGCCTTTATTGGACAGGATTGTAGAGAGAGACAGGAAATGGGGAGGCAGAGAGAGGGGGGAATGACATGCAGTAAAGGGCCGTCCGATGCGGGATTTGAACCAGCGCCACTCGCCACTCGACGCCCCAACAGGGAAACAATCTTACATATGCAAAGAGGAGAGTTTTTTCAGGCTCTGAATTCAAGTAATTTGGTAAAACATTGATCAAATTTCGATAATTCCCACATGGTGGTCAGTGATGTCAGGTAAAAATCTCATATCCTGAAAATAGGAGGCAGAGTTAAAGATTCACCAGAGGAAGAGTGCTATGAAATGTGTGAGACACAATGTTCATCCACAATCTCAGTAGCACGGAGGGAATTCTGTTGGAAGAATTACCCAGAATAACCCAAAATAAAGAGCACAAAGATAAGGCTGTATCGGCAAAATGTTATAATTGTAATTGTGTTGTAATTAAAATAGTTGTATTAATATTGAAATATGTCCAGACAACTCCAGTGGTATTTTCTTTTGTATTTGGTTGTGTGGTTTGGTTCTTGTGAAATAAATCAATAAAAAGAAAAAGAAAAAGTGTGAAAAAAAAGAAAATCTCAAAAACTATAATTTAATAACATAACTCTGCAAGGTTGTTTTTACAGCCATAAACTATGTCCTCAGTCAAGCATATCATTCCCAAAAGCATTTTGATTGAAGTAACAATTGTACATTAACGAGTGCATCCCACCTTCTACCCACGCAGAGGACTCGGAGCTTCTGCAGATGCGAGCTTCAAGTTTTTATTGTTGTTACTTATTGAATTGTATCTTGTGGTCTCACTGGAAAATATGTTACAACATTTTAAAAACGCTCTCTAAGATCATTCATCAATGGGAAACAAAAACCATCAGTGTTTTCACGTGTGTGTGTGTGTGTGTGTGTGTGTGTGTGTGTGTGTGTGTGTGTGTGTGTGTGTGTGTGAGATACCTTGGACCACTCTGAAGCCTCCCACACAGTGAGGCAGAGGCGGCCCTCGCAGCCCTGCAGGACAGGAGGTTTTCCTCCTTGGCAGTACAGGTCTCTGGTGTGGATGAGCGAGCCGTTCTGTAGGTGGTAAACACAAACCACTTCCCTCTGCTGAAGACCTTTACCACATGTGACGGAGCAGGATCCCCACTCACCTGTCACCCACCTGTGAAAAAACACCAAGAGACAGTCCATTCGCTTTGTTTCTGAGTGGGGAGATGATTGAGTCTTAGATCACGTCTGCACTGCAGTGATGAAGTTTTAAAAAACATTTTCTGTGTGAAAACGACTTGGTGTCCACAAAGCACAGGTGATTCTGGCCACAGTTAAACATCTGAACAACAGAAATAAATGTCTTCATCACTCTGTTTTCAGTTGGCAAAGAAAAAACTGCATCACAGCTGGAGTGAGACACGCAGCCCAGCTGACCAAATCATTATTTTATGCTCACAACATCTTGTGACAACATCAACATTAACACAGATTAACAGACCCAGACCCAGGATAACTTTTAGTTGTCTGGGTTAACTAAACCTAACATTGACCGTCCTGGATAACCTGTACTATGAAGCTGGTTATCAACTGGCTCAGTTAACCCTGGGTTTACCTATCAGGCTACGAGCGCGTTCATGTGAAAGAGGCAGAGTTGTTCATTATAAACCAACATCGTCTGAACCACGAATGAAGTACTAAATATGATTTGAGAAGAAACACTGAAACCTGCCGGTAAGTTCAGTTGTGTCCACTTCCACAAGTGACATTCAACAAGGTGAAATGTGAATAAAATGATCACATGACTGGAATAAAAAAATATATTATTTCAATGTCTAAATATAATTTCTATTAAAGTCATACTAAAGATATATTGTAATTAAGTGCATGAATTATCATTACGTTTGAGTATTTTCGCTCTTTTGCCTGATGATGAACAAACTTATGAACATGAGATGTAGATGAAACAGTAAGAGTTAATGTCAGACTGTTTCTGCTGCAGAGAGGAGAGAAAGAAAAGCGGAGAGGAGTATAGTTCAATCTGATGAGTCAGTCTGACTGAACCTTTATAATCGTGGTAATAATTAGCAGTGTGGCTAATTGTTGTAATCAAAGACATCAGAGGTTTCGTTCTTATTTCCAGTTGTGGTCTCAGAATCTCCTCATGTTATTCTGAGCTGCAGTGATGAAGAAGAGAGTAAAAGCTTCATCTCTGTCAGGAATCCTGTCGGATTAAAGAATATCTGTTCAATTAAAATGAAGCTATAATAGTTATTATATCGGCTTATTTGGTTTTTTTACTTTATTGGTCAGTAGTTCGGCTGTTGACAGGTTTTGATGTGATCCTCTGAAGTTAACCTGCTCCGGAGCAGGTTAGGGGTTCAGCATCACAGACACAGCTGGAGCCTCATGAAACACGGCGTATGCACCAAGCTGTAAAGCTGCGGAAGCTCCAACAAATTCACATATATGAAACCGTGCACTCTCAGGATTCCACCGCGCTCTGGAAGCTGCTTTAAAAGAAGCTCCATTTTTGGGTAATAACATATAATGACGTTGGGCTGAGGGCTGATACAGACAGACAGAGAAGACTTTATGAATTTCAGTGTGGATGCACTTTTACAGAGCACAATTTAAAATAAAGTACCAAAGTACAGCGATGGTTTATGTAGAAGAGTAAAAGAGACACAACACATCAAATCATCATGAATACTCTTGATTTACCCTTTGAAACTGAATAACTAAACACAACAGAAGAAAAAGCAACTGAAGGGAAGCTACAAGGTGACGGACAGAGGGCAGATCAATGAAAATGCATGAGCTGACATTTGACAGTGTTTACTAAGCTTTGTCAGTGTGTGCCCAGATTGTAGCACAGACATGTTCAGTGATCCATGTGAGCATGGTTAAATTACTCAATCATTTATCTGTCTCTACCACGGTGTACCGATAAGAAAGTAAGTGTGTGTGCGTGTGTGTGTGAGTGTGCGCGTGTGTGTGCGTGTGTGTGTGTGAGCGCGTGTGTGTGTGTGTGTGTGTGTGTGTGAGCGTGTGTGTGTGTGTGTGAGTGTGTGTGTGTGGGTGTGATGTGTGAGTGAGTGTGTGGTGCGTGTGGGATTGTGTTTGGTGTGGTGTGCGTGTGTGTTGTGTGTGTGTGTCGTTGCTGTTGTGTGTGTGTGAGCATGCACTAGTAGATGTGGTGCTGTGGTGGTAGTAGTGTGGTGTGTGAGTGTGGTGTGTGTCGTTGTGAGTGATGTGTGTAGCGTGTTTGTGTGTGCTGGTGTCGGTGGTGTGATGGTGTGTGCGTGTCGTGTGTAGTGTTGGGTGTGTGTTTGTGGACTGGTAGGGTTGTGGTATGTGTGTCGTGTGGTAGGTGTGAGGCGGTGTGGTGGTGTTGTTTTGGTGTGTGTGATGTGTGTGGTGGTGGTTGCGTTTGTTGGTGTGTTTGTTGTGTGTGTGTGCGTAGATGGTAGTGGTTGTTGTGTTGTGTGCGCTCGCGTGAGTTCCACGTCTGGAGGGGGTGTGAGTTGCAGAGTCGTACTTGGGGCTGTGGTCGGTTCTCCAGCTGACAGTAGCTGTCGTTGACCACCTCCATGGTTTTATTGGCTATCCTCATACAGGAAACCACTGTCCTCCGCTCACCTGCACACACACAAACACACCCAAACACGCCAGTGAAAAAAAATGGATGCTTCAAGAAACACAAACCACTTCAGACAGTTGAGATAAACTCTGATCCTTGCTGATGAAACAGAACAGATGCTCCAACCAACAATCTCTTTGTGTCTGTTTAGCTAACTATGCACAAACAACTGTGTATTTAGATTTTTCGGAATATTGTTGTAAAACTATGAGTGTTTGGAACACACTGATACACACAGATATACACTTTACACACTTTAGTGCAAATTCAATCAATATACAGGAAATAAAAGACAAATAAAGAACAAAATGAAATCATTCGCATAAATCATCCAGATGTAGAAGTGATCCACTGACTACCATCATGTCTGAACAGAAGAATCTACAGTGTGGACAAAACTGTAATTTAAGTCGGTCCCAAAAGCAGGAAGATAAGATGTGACTTGATAATAGGCCAATTAGCCTGATAAATTTTAATAATAAAGTAAAATCAAATTACACACAGGGATGGTAATGTTTGGATCTGTGGATTCACTGTGCAAAGAAGAATAATATAAAAATGGCTAGAGCCTCCTTTCACCTCTGCTGTTTGCATTATCTATCAAACTACTGCTTTAAGAGCCAGTTAACTGATATACCAGACTTCACTGTGTCACGTTTGTGCAGACAAGGGCACATCCACCCAGTGCACTGTGGGGGGTGGCTGCACCTGTTTCCTCCCACAGTCCAGAAACATGATGGACTGGTGACCTGTCCGGGGTGTAAACCCACCTCTCATCCAATGTCAGCTGCGATTGGCCCTCAGCCCCCGCTAAAGGATAAGCTAATGTATGTAGCTAATGGATGGATGGTTCCAAGGATGTGAGAGGAGTGAGTAAAAACGAATACCTTGTAAGTTGATTCTTAATTGAGAATTGATTTTGAACTCAATGTCTGGGATTGTTGGATGTTCAGAGTGGTGTTTTGTTCCTTGCAGAGACTGACCTAACCACAACAACTGCACCACTTGTTCCCCTGTTCAGTCAGTTGTGCGTTTACGGAACCGGATCAGTGATGCGTGCTCTCCAAGTCAAATCATTCACCTACATGGGATCTCAAGCAAACAGATACATTCTAATGCACCATTAAAAATGTGTTGAGCGGCGGTGGTTGTACCCCCTCGCTGCTTTGCTGATTAATCCAGAAGCACCTGACCTCGCAAATGGAAATGTTTTGAGCACTGGATGCCAATATTACATCAGTAAGAGGATAAGAGAGCTGCTCAGGAAATCATCAAGAGTTAGCATTGCCCTGTGCTCTCTCTCCCTCTCTCTCTCTCTCTCTCTGTGTGTGTGTGTATCCACAGAGGGAAGCCTGCTCTGTCTAATACAGTGTAGATCATAGGATTGGATTAGTAACTAGCTCTCCACAGGTCTTTCTCTTCGTCCAAACGCCCTGTGATCCACCCCCCTCCACTCCAGACATGTCTTCACCGTTCACCCACAGCAGCTTCTCCTCAAATCAACCTTCATTTCTCTATTTTAGTTATGTGCCCTTTTAACTACTAAAAATATATGAGCTTTAAGAGACCAAAGCCAAAACCTGATCTGACACTGATCTTCTTGGATTACCTGGACGGTTAAACCCACAAATAGTCCTAAACCTAGAATTTTATACATGATGTGGTCACAAATTTTATTGACATCGTTACTTATTGACACATATACTTAGGGCTTAGTTATTACATACACCTGTCCCCCAGAACAGGCTGGATACAGTTGCAGGTTTTTCTTGACTGCACATGCACCATGCTGCAAATCACCTCTTTCGTCTCATCTCAAAGGCACTACACTGGCATGTATGTACCATACGAAGGTGGTATTAAGGGAATTCATCAGGGAATCCATCAGGTTTTGTTTTCCTCGTCTAATTCTGTGCAGTTGTGGTGAGCCTGTGCAGACCGCTGCCTCAGTTGCCTGTTCTCCGCTGACAGAAGTGGAAGTTGCTGTGGTCTTCTGCTAATGCAGCCGCTTTACTTCGAGGTGCATACCACTCAGTTAGTGTCACCTTCCTGCCCAGCTTCAACCGGCCTGCCCACTTTCCTCTGAGCTTTCTCATTAACGAGGTCATTTTGCTCGCACAAATGGATGTTTTTTTTTTTTCAATTAGGTTTTGTACCATTTTCTGCACTGTTCTCTGTAAAGTGTACAAGTTCTTTTGAGTGATAATCCCAGGACATTCATGGTGTCTGAGCCTTTCCCTCACTGCATGACACTAGCGATCATGATATGGTCCAAGGCTTTGATTACATTTCTTTGCCATTCTCATATTTGGTGAAAAAAACAAACAAACAAACCTCTGAACCTCTTGCATGCTCTACATGCTGCCACATGATTTTCTGATTAGGTCTGTATGTAAAAGAACTCTTCAGAGGACACTTGAAAACTAATGATGCTATTTTATATCCTTGTACTTTGTATGAGCTATTATAATAAGTCATGTTTACAAGAATATAAGACATAAGCAAATATACTGATTCTAAGGTATTGCAGAGATGCCAAGTGAAGCAACTTAATTCAACTCAGGCAAAAATTATGTTTATGCAGTCTTCACTATAAGCACACAGCTTTGACGAGAGAGTGAGTTTTTCTTGCTGGACCATCAGGGACTGTTGATAGGTGGCAACACAGCGCAGCTCCATGCACAGGCAAAGAAAAAAAAAAAACACAGAGATTTTCTTGTGATCATGACTCAGTCATTATTAGGAGAAATGATGTGATTATTTTATCCAGGAGATGAGGTCAGGTGCTTCTGGATTAGAAGCCAGTGGAGCAGCGGGGGGGGTGAGACCACCACAGCTCGGCACATCACCTCTCAGTGGTGGAACAGACTTGACATCCCGTGTAGATGTATGATTTGACATCCAGAACACACACCTTATTAAGTAACTGATCGGGTCCTGTAAACACACAGCTGATGTAACTAATGCTTGTTTTTTTTCAGCAGGACTCCGTGGTTACATGTTGTAGTTTGATCTTTGTCTCATAATAACAAGAACCAGAGCTGATAATTATGAGATCAATGTCTTATGAGATAACGATCTCTTCGGTGTTAGATGGGCTGAATGTGGCGAGCAGACAAAACACTGACACACCTGATTTAATTCATTTCTACATCTGAGGCTTTAAAAGATATTGATGTTGGTGTATAATAATATAGTAAAAAAATAGTCAGTAAAAAAAAAAGACGCTCAGGCGTCTTCCGTTGTTGTTCAGAGCACACACGCACCAGCACACAAACATCTGGTCTACTTGTTGATCATACACCACCTCCTATAGTTTCAAACACAAGCTTCACTTTAGAAATGGCTGTTGTTGTTTGTTGTCAACAGCTGGTAGGAAGTAAACTCGGAGCCAAAGGCATGCCGGTGTTGCTCTTGTGGTTATCCTACTTCCTACTCAGCCCCGAGTATCAGAAAGTTTCCAGAAGCTAAGTGTGTGAGAGGAGGCTGAAGAAGGTAAGATTTGGGACACTGCTTCCTCCTTCGTTCTCTGTTGTACAGAAGTAAAGTCAGAACTGATTCTTTAGTAGGAACAAGACTTCATTCTTCTTGTTTTGATTAAACTATTGTAATATTTTTATAACATTTCATGTTACATTTATTTTATCTCCAATGTCATCAAAGTCTGCATTTCCGAGTGTCTGGACTATGTTTTCTAACTGTTGCCAACCAAACCTCTCTAATAAAGACGTCTTAACTTTCAGCTCGGTTTCATCGTGTTCTGATTTGACAGAACACGATGAGACAGATCGGCTCCAAAGTCACATCGTCTAATGGCTCCTGACCCCATCTGATCTCTTTGAGAAAACAAGGAGAAACTTCCCAAAAACATAAACACATATGGTGGAAACCTTGGCAAAGGCCATTCAGAGAAAAATAAACCAGATGACATTTATACAAATATTATCATTGCTGTAACCGAACAGGATTTTACTGTTGAGACAAACTGATTTCCCCGCAGAGACTGTATTTTACATGACATTATGCAATGATGTGTGCGCGCAACCGTGACTCATAGTTTGCATGTAAATCTCAGTGCAAATGTGTATGTGTGTGTGTGTGTGTGTGTGTGTGTGTGTTACCTCCTCCACATTGGACAGTACAGTCCTGCCAGCTGCTGTGAGTCCAGATGTAGAGATACTCCTGTTCCCTCTGCTCCTCACTACTCCTGTCCTGAGACGTGTTCAGAGACACCGTGTACTCGTAGTGGATCCCGTAGCTCTGGTCGTGGAAGAGCAGAACCTGGGAACATGAGAGAGAGGTTTAGCTACGCCTCATCTGCCTTTTATCTTTATTTGTCAAACTAATGTTCAGTGTTTAGCGGTCAACAGTAGAAAGCAAACCTATGCAGGTTTACAGTGATTGCTTCCATTTAAACAGTAAATCGACACTAATAGGGTTCTTCCAAGGGCCCGGGTTGGTCCTCTCCAGCTGTGCCGTGCCGTGCCGTGCCGTGCCTAGCTGTGATGACGTGTGCTTCCACTGCAGCCTCACAGCAGGGGATAGTTGTGTGTCTTCTGGGTATAAATTTGTGTGTCTGTATTAAAGACTACAGAGAAAAGGTCTGTTTTTAAAAGTCTCTCTGTGTTCAGCTCTCAGTACTTCTCTAACTTCCACCTGAATGTCCGTTTAGTTTAGTGTATTCCTGTTTCAGTCTTATTTAAGCCACTGACTCTGATGTAAACCAAATCTCTGCTGCTCTCCACCGGCAAACCAGTGGGAGTTAGAGGAAATACAGTGTGATTGTCACCAAGTTAGCTCTGCACAGGAGGAGGATTCATGGACAGTATGGACCAGAGAAAACAGTGTAGTCGTGACACAACAGGATCTCTTCATGGACAGTATGGACCAGAGAAATCACTCCTACATATACAGAATATCCCCTCTGAGCATTGTATTGAGGTAGACTTGCAAAGATTTAAAACTGTTGCACAGCATGACCAGGGTTGTACAAATTAAGTTGTAAATTATTCAAACTCTTATCTTACTTCTCTTAATACTTTATGTCATTAACATCCATCATTGTTCTTGCAGCCAAGGAACACTCCTCCTTCTTTTCTGCTTTTCACGCAGTTACATGAACATGGATACAAATAATGGATTTCTCCTAAATAACCTCCTCTCTTGAATGCTGGACACATGGTCAGCCTTGTTAGTTCACAGGTCTAACCTCTTTTTTCTTGCTTTGTCATTGGCTGTGACCGACAGTAGCCTAAGTAAGGTTTTCTGTTGGTTAAAGCCAAATAATATTTCTTTGTCTTCTTCATGGGAAACACTACAGTATGCTTCTACTCGTACTAAAAGAAGAGAAAAACTGAAATGCAAAACAGCTGCTGACCATGTGCAAGAACAGCAGCCCAAGTCACAAACAATAGGGATATCAAGAACCCTTTACTAAAACTATATATATATTGAATATCTGACACAAACACACACTGTGAAAATATTCATCTAATGTCTTTAATGAAAGAATGATTATCTGAAAACCAGACAAGAAAATCTGCCAGCGCAGTGAAGTTATTTTAAACCAGTTCCTAAGAAAAAGCTGCTTTTCTAAAAGGGAGTGTATCCTGATACAACACATGAAACAAACTAAATCCCAACTGGAAGCAGTTCTTTACTGACTCAGACGGCCTGATAATATGCGGATGTTTGCAGTGTGGTAAAATCCATGACGTAGCATCAGCAGTAAGCTCAGTGTCACCAACAGACACAAAAGTCCATTAAAGAAGGCACTGGTAGTCATGGATATCCTTGACATGAGATTCATTAGCTTCCATTAGAGCGCAGACCACTGCCTTACAGCTATGCCCAATAGTGTAATCGGCTGTTCAGCCATGTCTCCAGCTCTGCACGGGGTGACTGTGTGTGTTCTTTTGATCGCATCAAGTGTGGATATACACTCACTTAGAGAACCCTGGGTAGAGGATCTAGGAGTTGGGCTCATGGAGTGGAGGTGTAGAAGGTCAGTGATACTACCGAGCCTGGCCATGCATTAAGAGTGAGCACTGAAATGTTCAAACGGATTCTAAAATGAACCTGTAGTCAGTGCAGAGAGGGTGAAATAGGGGTCATACGTGACAATCTGTTGGATCCTGTTAAAAGCCTTGCAGCAGCATTTTGGACAGATTGTAAATGAGAAGGGAAGATTTGTTAAGACGGAGAATTACAGTAGTCCAAATGTGATAAAAGTACGCGTTAGCATCACCTCAAGGTTCAACGTGTTGTTCACTCTGATGCTTTTCTGCTCACCACGGTGGTTATCTGAGTAACTGTAGACCTTCTGTCAGCTTCCAACCAGTCCGTCCATTCTCCTCTGACCTCTGACCTCTCTTATCAACACAGAGCTGCTGCTCACTGGATGGTTTTTTTTTTGTTGTTTTTGCTCCATTCTGAGTAAAAACTCAAGAGACTGTTTGAGAAACACTCAAACCAGCCGTCTGACGCCAACAATCATGTCACGGTCAAAATCACTGAGATCACATTTTTTTTCTTTTTTGTCATTTTGACTCGGTGAGTGGATGGTATAGTTTAAAAAAACAACTTGTATGCACTGATTTTTGGTGTAAAAAGAGCATCAGAAAATACAGAGAGCCTATGAAATGTGTCAATTTGCAGGGTAAAGGTTGTTTAGCATCTCTTGGCAGCATTTGAACTGATCTGCAATGAAATCACACTGACCTTTAACTAAAAATTAGATACACACTTGTTAGATTTGTCTACCACGTATGTGATGGACATGCTCTATTGTATTTGACTAATGTATCATAGCTCATTTAGTTTACAATATGAAGCCCTAAACAAGAGTCCAACTGATTTTGTTTTTTCTCTAAACTCGCTCTGCTCCCCCTTCAAACCGTTCCCAGAATGCAATGTAAACATCCCTAGACACTTGAGCACCATGAATGGCTTTTTCATTTACAAACTCTATCTTTAGAATCTAATTGATTATACTGCTGTTGAGAATAAACCTTTGTCAGAGGACTGATGTTTCATGGCTTTTTCCTTTCCATGCATCCTGACCTGATGCCCATGATGATAGCTGACTTTGCACCACTCTCAGCCAGTCTGATAGATGTACTGTGCAATTAAAGGTGCACTGCGATATATTAACAAAGAACAGAGTGACTGATGTGTTTACCATCAGGTGTAAGGGGGTCTTAGTGGGTCCCTTGGCAGACATCTTCTCCCACAGTCCCCTTCTGACGTAGCGCACCGTGGTCCCGGCCAGTTCAAACTCTCCTGGAAGCTCAATCTTCCAGTCACTGTTGATGGATCTCTTACTGGAGTCTTTGAGGGCTGTGAGGAAGACACAGGAGGTCAGAGGTAACACCTTAACGCAGAAATCCTGTGTTTGACACCGAATGAACACCTGACCCGTTCTAACTACTACTGCTCATATCACAGGTTAGTTCCTGGTTGTCCTTGTCAAACAGACTTGAACGCGTGAACAGTGCATTTTCTGTGTATTTGTCGAATGTCAGTTCATGAAAAGTTGTAGTGTTTACACTGGAGACTCAACAGGGCAGACAGTGAAACCCAAATTGAAATGGCAACAATTTCACATCGTCTGCTACATTCAGTATATGGTAACAGCAATGATAAATCCTAGCCCATGCAGCCACCTACGGTATACAACCAAACTCAGTCAATATCACTAACATGTTCAGTAATGACAAACCCGGGCTATTCAATAAAATTTCATTTGTTTTTATCCAAGAAGAATAAGGCCCATTAATTTGAAATCAGAAATGTTTGACTGATTAAACTATGATGAAAGGTTTGTATTAAAGAATCAACTGCAACACAAGTTTCATTCATTTCAATAGTGAGATACCTTTCTTTTATTTTTTAAAATGTTTTGTGTGTCTGGCTTTGTTTTCCAGTCCTCCTGGGTGTGGATGATGTTCTGCTTTTTCACAGCTGCTCTTTGTTGCTCTTCCTTCCACTTTAAAATACTCCTATGGTGTTCTACTGGATTCAAGTCAGGGGACATACCTGGCAGGTCAGGTCAGTTTCTACTTTTTTCTTCTTTAAAAGATTTGATTTTTGCAGTGAGTATGGGATGATTGTAGAGTTGGAAAATTCCTCTCCTGTCTGGGAATCTTTTTTTTTCATTCGGTATTTGGGTCAAAGAACATGCATTCACAGTATCATCTATCAATATCATCTCCCCTACACATTTTGCACTAATGCAGCCCCCTATCAGTAACTCCAACCTCTGTGTTTCACAGTCGGCAGTATGCAGTCACTGGCCTGGTCCACTCCAAACATGCTGCACCCCGTCTGATCCAAACAAACTCATCTTTCATCTTGGTCTCATCTGACCAAAGAATATGTGACCAATATCATCAGGCTTCTTTCCAGGTCCTGTACAACACTTTGTGAAAAGATCTTGCAGTTTTGTAAGCAAATGGTTTTCTTCTAGGTGGCCGACGGCGGAGGCTGACTTAATGCAGTGTCCTTCACTCTGTCTGATCGGTTCCCACAGATAATCCTTGTACCAAGTCAGAAGCGCTTACAAACAGCGAATTGTGCTTGGTGTCACTTCTCGCCTTCTGTTTATTGGCCGTACGGACCTTCCTATTCCTCCTAACCACTGCTGTAGCTGTTTCAGCTCATGTTCAGCAGCCTACTGACTCTGTTCTCTCCTCTCCATCTTTATGAAGTCTCACAATATTACAAAAAATAATACAATTATTGTGTGATGACACACTTTTGAATAATTTAACATCTTAGTGATACTGCACAGGGATCCAATCACTTTTGTGTGTTGTATCTGGTTGAGGTTTAGGTTAAATGAACAGTTCAACATTTTGAGAGAGGTCCAGTGACCAGTGTCCAGAGTCTTGTCCTCACAGTCTTCTTGTCAGATTCAGTCTCATCGTGCTTGTACAGAGACCAAAACAAAACCTGTGCTCTCCATCTGTATCTGGTTAAAGTATCTGAGGTGCTGGGAGGAAGGATAAACTGTTGTCTGGTGGATGGGTCATATCATGTGTTGATCAAATGCTACAGTGACTTTTTAAGGGGTTATATCAAAAAGCTCAGAGCAATTTGCATCTTCAGCTCCTCCCTCAACCAGAACAAGAGCAGCTCTGGACAGTCTGTTAAAGGAACCCTTGATTGTAGGTTTTCTGAAGACCAGCTACTCGACTACCTCACCACACGTCCAGAGAAGCCATGTTAACCCTGCAGTCAGCTGTCCCAGCGCTGGCCCGACAAAGGTCGAAGTGGGCTGAACCAAAAAGATTATCTTACCTGCTTGAATGTGAATAGACAGATTAGGGTTTGAATGGTGAGGAGTTACTTAAAATGCTGCCAGTATATTTTTACATGCATAACTTTAACCCCCCCCCCCCCCCACACACACACATGCCATGGTCAACAGGTGTAGCAGGAGGGATTTCCAACACTATCCAACCATCCCATACTCGTTTCTATAAATGTCGCTTAACTCTTTCAACATGCACATACGTTATTTCAGCTTAGCCATGAAAAAGTAATCAGAGGGAATAAACATTACCTGCTCACTTCAATTCAGCTCTGGACCGGATCAATCACCAAATGTTAACATCATTCCTCTACTAAAGTCCTGATCACTGTTAACAACTAGGTGTTGGGGTTAGATGTAAAATAAACCATTCTTCTGTACGTGTGTGCTCAGTTTTCCCCTTCAAACCTGATTTTTACTGAGTATTTGTGTTTCCAGACTTCCAAGTGTCTCCAGAAAAGCCACCATGTTTTCCATCCAATGGAATGGGACCCAATGGGATCATATGAATGCACAGTAGTATCCTGGCACTAAAGTAGTTGTGTGTAAACACTGTAATGATACTGCAGAAAGAAAGAAACATGGAGAAAGAAACATGTTTCTTGTGTTTGTGTGATCATTCTCAAGGCTCTGAAGTACACCCTGTAAAACACATGCATCATTACCCAGAAAGCTATGTGAAGGTTTGTCCTCCACAACTTTGATTCTCCTGGCTCCTGCAGGGATAACCACGGCCTCGATGTAGCCTGACAGAAAGACAGAAACATGAGGTGAAAATACACTCAGAGTCATACACCGGTGGACATGGAGACAGGGATGGGCTGGTGACGTCTGTGTCTGTATCAGAGATGCTCTATCCACTACACCACCGAATTCACTCCCTCATCATATCAGATATATTCATATTTATATTTACATGTTCTAGGGTTTTTTTTTAGTTGTGGCTTTAAGTTTTTCCTTCAAAATGTCTATCCATTGGTTTCCATACATTTTCAACTCTTTGTAAATAAACCTAAAGACACAAACAAGTGAGGGTGTGATTGTATTTTAGTGATCTGAATCTAGTTTTCAATCTGTCTATTAAATCAAATTTCAATCAAGGTTTATATTTAAACATTAGTAACAAATGTTAAAATGACTAAAACTCAAATTCAGTTCAGTTGAGATCTGTAATTTCTGTATACTCAAAAGACAAAAACATCATTTTAGTGGCAGCTTAAATAATACTGAATGATACTGAAAATGAGATAAACAACAGAAGATACTAAATATTAATTTTAGATTAAATAAGTATCTGACACATGACAAGTTGTACAGTGGTGTTACAGAGTGTTGCTTCTTCAAAATCACAAAGGATCTTTGGTGGAAGACAGAGAGCACATTGATCAGACACCAGCCAAATTTGATTTTGGGCTTTTGGCATGTTACTTACAGAATTAATGTTCTTACAGCTTTAATTATTATTCTTTGCAACACCTAATAAAACCTGGAGACATTTGTCATGCAAATTAGGTTAGGAGACAGGCTGGGGGAAAGTCTGTCATGTCATAAATATTAAAAACAAAAGAAAAACACTGTTAAACTACAAAGTTAATGCAAAAGTATTTTTATGATTAAATATTGTAGAGAAATGATGGTGTTATAAGACCACCATCAAACACATAGACTACTGTTCATTACGGATTACAATATTCTACTTGCTAATTGTTGCATCTCTGTCACACAACCAGCCACCAGCCCTTCTCCACACACAGCATACTTCTGCTTTACTTGTTGGGCATTATTTCAACACAAAGCAGATCAGTCTGACAGCTATTATTCTATTATATTACCAATAACTGTGTCTACAGAGTGTTGGGGGTTAGCATATAAATACCAGATGATGTTACAGAAAGTCATAGAAGAGCACGCTCATTTTCAGTCTTATTTCTGCTACTTTGGCCATCATTCTCATTGGTTATGATAACATTTCCCTCAGCATCTTTACAGCTGAGGTTTGGGAGCAGACAGTCTCTGTTACACACAGCTCTGCATCTGTGGCAACACCACATCACAACAATGTTGTAGAGAAACAAATATAATCCAGCTGAAATACCTGTTAAAATACTCATACATAAGCGTATAACCACAAAAAGAAGCAAAACAGATCAAATCCGAACCAGGAAGCAGAACAGATCATCTGGATAATTTACTCAATGTTCACCTTCATCCTCACTTCCAATGCTGTGACACTTCACTTATACAGCGTTAAAGCTCCTCTCAGGACTGTGTGGTCAGTGTGTAGAGGCGGTTGATATCTGCTACACCTGTCACAGTGCAACAAACTCACACCTTCTACATTTGTATTAACATATTCAATTTGTTCACTCATAGAGTTTGACTCTGTCTAACTTTCACCTGGGCTCCTCTCATCCAGAACACCTGTGTGAGTGTGACTGTGCAGGGCCAGTAAAGTGCACTTATCTTCAAACCCGTTTAATCACACATACGGTTATCCCATGTACGTACGGTAAATGTGAGAAATGAAGCTGGTGAGTGAAATGCAAGAAGTCAAAAATGACCCACGTGAGTGTTTTCTATTTCATGGCCCTATCAGCAGAACAGCACTGTCTGATGGTACCCGCTACACCGGTCACAAATCACTGCTACAAAATGGTTAGGCTTAGAGAGCAGTTGGCTCCATTCACCAACAGTCATAATTCAGATGCCACTTGAGGTCTTTGTTAGTTAAATGCAAACACAGGCTGTTTTTAGACATTAGAGGACAGTTTTATAAAATAATACTGTACCTGATGGAAATGATGGCCAAAACTGAAAATATTCAGATTGTGAAAAAAAAAAAAAACTTTTAACTTTGGCTAAGATTGATAGTGTCCGAACAGAGCGGGTGGTTAAATTTAAAGTTTTCCAAAATACATTCTCATATTGGTTTGTGCTCCAGGAAAATATATACAGTACATACATTTAACTGGCAAGTGTGATTCGAATGAGCTGCTTTGTTTCCGGTACATAATAATGCCCAACATTATTTCACAGTACAGTGCTTCACAGTTTCAGACACCGATATGACTTCATACTTACCAACAACACACAGTTGGTACACAGCACACAGTTATACAGTAGGAGGACGCAGTTGCTTCTGACAGTGACTGACAGCCAGTTTTGGGTGACATCACACACAGACACACTGACAAGACAACAGCAAAAATGTTGTCACATGAACCCGAAGCCTGAAATGCAAATTCCTCGTAGTGCGTGAATGTGAGTACTGTCATTTCCCAGCAAGCATGAGCCTGCCACTATTCTGTCTTTATCACATGCCACGTCTCCATGTCTGTTTGTGAGCTAGCCTAGATATGCAAGTGGCTAGCCTAGCATTGCTAATGACCAGTAAAGTCGGTTTCGATTAAGCTGCCGAGGCAGGAATGTGAGTTACCGGGCTTGGTTAAATGAATTGCCTTGCTCGGCAATTGGGTAGCTTGCCATTTACCACCTCTGGCCCCAGTGACTAAATCAGTGGCCTCAACATAGACGTACACTCCTCTAATTTCTCAGTAGTCTGAATTTTGGCACTTTCCCTGTGCCATACATGACAGCATTTGGTTTCAGTGTTCAGTAAATCCATTTTATTTTTGTGTGTTTGATGTAACACAGTAGTGAGCTATGCTTAAGAATCCAGTTCTTGGATACAAAGGCAAATACCACTGTGGCTCCTAAAGACACGACATATACAAAAGCTCAAACATCAAGGAAATGCTCCCAAAATTGAAAACACAAATATCAAGAGGAATACAGCACCTATATCTGGTGTGTGGATTGAGATCTCATATGTCTATCTTATACCTATCAGGCTATAACATTGTCTTATCTCATTACTCATTATTTATTATCTGGAATCATGGATGAGGCAGCAAAAGATATAAATATAGGCCAATTAATACATAATTTTTAGGTGGGGCACACAAGTTCAGAACTGGCTAAATTCTGATTATTGTCAAAATATTTAAATAATGAATATATTCTGTTAGCGGTGCTTAAAGAGCACCTATTGTTGCCATTTTTAGTGTTCATCATTTCACTCTTGGTGTCGACTAAAATAGATTTACATGCTTTAATGTTCTGAAAAGACATTATTTTCATTTTTATATACATTTTATGCTGTACTCTCTTCACCCTCTGTCTGAAACGCTCTGTTAGAACTCAGGACTCTTTAAGGCCTCCCTCCCCCCTCTGAGGCCCAGTGTGCTGTGATTGGTCAGCTTGCCACAACTACCATGGCAAGATGTCTTGTGTAAACACGGTTGTGGCGGCTTTGGTACTGCCTTATCTTTTTGAGCAAGAGTCTGATCCTGAAGCAGAAAACAAGCGTACCCACTGTCAGGCAGCCGGAAGGAGGGAGAAATATGAGGAGCGCCTTGAATCAAGATGCTGTACAGTTTGCAAAGACTTCGGATGACAATATTCATAAAATGGAATACTTTTACTACAAACCCTTTTGATTTTTTATGTGTGGACACGTCCGGACCAAAACAATATAAATAATGAAGGAACAGACAGAGAAAACTCTTCACTATAAGTAGTTATGTGCTGTGCCTTGTGTGGGTGCATGGCTAGATTGCAGGGGGTGTCCAGCTTACAGGTGGGCTGCACCAAGAGACAAGAGAGTTCCTCCCTTTGGTGTAAACTTTGATTCTTGCGACTCTGTAGACCATTTACATGCACAAAAACCTATATAATGCACTAAATATGGGAAAACCCAGAAAAGCATAATAGGTCCCCTTTAAAGTCTAAGATCTGTGATCCTCTGTCAATGAGTTGGTCTGAGCAGGAAACACAGGTGAACAAAATCCACTGAAAACACTACAGGATAGTTCTGTCTGGACAGGAACATGTCATACTATTTCACAATGGCCACTGAACTGTGGGCCCTCGAGGGAAGTACAGTTAGTTTTGGATTTGGAGAGCATTTCCTTAGTGTTTGTGCTTTTGCTTCTGTGTATGTCTTGTTCTTAGTGGGCCACCAAAAAACTAATGCTGCAAAAACTGAGAATTCTGGACAGGTGGCCACAGTGTTGGAGAGTACATTTACCCAAGTAATAAAATTCCTCCCACTCTTTAATCTCTCATGGGCCCCCAACCTGTTTGGAAGTGCACTGCGGAATTACTGAATATTTTATTTAGACGCTATAATTCAACCTGGCATATTTCCCATTAATATGGCCACTGTGACTCTATGGGTCATACTATGCACTCGTCAAATCCATTGTAGAGATACAGGGAAATAAGGACTTCAGTGATATGATATCAATATATCAGAGCCCTAAAGCTTTCTGAATGAAGATGATTTTTACATGAATCATTTTAAACACTTGTCTGTGAGTCTGGTCCTAAGTAAACACAGAAAGTAGACAGATGGAATAACCATTAAGGAAAACTCCATAGGGATCTATATTTTGGTCAGTTTGCCGGTTGACCACCCTGCCATATTTTATGTACACCATAGTGTTTACATGTGAGGGTTTCACTGCAGTAAGGAAGCTATTTTCAGTGGATTGTCGCATGGACTTTTATGACAATAATCAAGTTTGCCATCATGGCCGTTCCAGGTGGCGTGTGTTTACTTTCATTCAGACTCAGAAAAACATTTATGTGGTAAAATCATGTTTATTTGGAAAGCTGTGGAAGATTTGCGCAGCTTGTTTTGTGCAAATCCTTGTTTCCCCAAATCTCTACAACAGAGATGCTGAGTGCAAAGATAGCAGGAGCCATAGAACCACAACGACCAGGTGCCTCATTTATAAAATAGTGTGTAGGATCCATACTAAGAGTGTACGTGAGCGTACACACTAAAAAGTTATCAGACATATAAAACTGTACACATTTTAGTGGGCCTCATAGGCTGCCTAAAACATAATATATAATATAAATAGTCAATATTAATATAACATTGATACACACTGTCCATGTGTTGCATGGAGGCATGTTACAAACAAAGTTTGAGGGCTTATGTCTGCAGCAGCTGTTAATGCAACAAACAGGACAATTTCCCAAATGAAACTAAGTGATCAGACATGGAGGTGGAGGCCTTGAATGCGTTGTTGAACACCAACTGACCAGCAGAGGCACAGACACACTGAAGCTCACCTCTTGGTATTTGTGTATCTACAGACTGTAGACACGTACATAGCTAAATACTTGCACAGTATTTAACTCTAAAATACATCATATAGAGTAGCATTTCTCCATTTGTCAGAGTTGATTATGGATGTAGGTGGTGTCTTGTGAGTGAAGTGGTCTAAGCCTCTTTCAGGCCCTATGTAACAGTTATAAATGAGGCTCCTGATCAATGGAAAATACAACAGGCTGAAATCTGCCAAATTTTCTTTTAAGTAAAACACTGAAATAATAATAATTTCCAACTCTTAAAATAAGACCCTTGTCATGTTTCTGTTTATAATAGATGCGGCAGTTACATTAATTGGTTGGTGACAGGTTCGACCAAAAGATATTTAATAAGCTAAAACTTTCTTGCTGAGAGTTTGTTGGAGTCGTTCTGCCCCCTAATGCTCAACAGTTGCTGAGTGCAGCTGCTCTACATCTAAGCAATTCCTGTCAATGTGCGTCTACCGCCTGTTTGTTTCCATATTCCTTTCATGGCGAGGAAAAAGAATTCATCCTCATGTGCAGATGTGGAATTTGCATTTCAAGACATTGTGTTCATGACACAAAATTTTGTGAGTCCAGGCTGAAACTGAACGTGTGCAGATCTTATCGTTTGGGCAACTTGTATCCACGATGAACAAACACACCACAAGCTCCTGAAAGCCAACCAGCTGTATCCATCAACCCTCCACCACCCTGCCCATCCACCTATGGTTAGCACACAGACTTGCCATGGGCTCACCTGGGTTTAAAAGCTGCACATTTGAAGCAAATGCCAAATGTGAAATGTATGACGTTTTATGCGGTACTGTAAATGTCAAAGTCCTAAGCTGGTAGCAGAACCAGATGTGTGCACTGGGTCTGGATTTAGGAGTGTAAAGGCAGGCATTTTATTGCAGACGACTGTCCCCCCCTCCCCCCCACCATTACTCTACCACTTGGCAGGAGTAGCAGGGAGAAGGAAACAGCTTGGATGAAAGGAATGCGTCCCTGGCATTCCTCATGGCTGGGTTATGGGGTAACGGGGTCAAACAGCTGGTTATGTAACTGTAACCAGACTACACCCCCAGGGGAGCCCACAGCTAACTGCTTCTCTCATCTACCTACAGTAAAACACTCCAGGCAGTGCAGGAAACACACACACACACAGTGCATGCATCTTACATGAGAAACACTTGGGGACAGCTCTGGGTTTAGCCATCACACAGGTAGATACCCTCTTACACTGCCTAGTGGTGACTGGAGGACAAGACAAGGAAGTTGAAGGGAGGTCACATGTCCTTTGGACCACACCAGCATGTGTGTGCAAATGTGCACACACACTAACAACCTTTCATTCCAGTTATCCCCTCCTCTGACTCAGATGTGTGATAGATAATCGCTGATTATTAATTCATTTATAACCCAAATAGCCGTTATCACAGTTGGCTACACACTATCAAGAATTACTGAGAGCAAAGAGGGTGATAATGAGGAGATTCTGGTTCTGTGTGATGCTGTATCCGGTCCAACCAGAAGCTGTAAATTGTCAAAGCCAAAAAAAAAAAAAAACTCCATAATGTATTTCACATTCAATTATGTCTTATGCAGAAGAAGAGTACATTTGCTCAGATACTGTGCTTCACTGCACCATGTCCTTTGATTGTAGTATAATTTATAATGCAGTGAACATGCGGGTTTATTCTAGAGGTTTTGGTTTCAAAGAGATGGGTTAGATATATGACAAACCTTACTCACAGACACAGTAATGCACTTACATTATACACATTTGATCAGACCAGGCCCCCGCTGAAGGATTCATGATCGTGTTAATTTACTGTTGGATATCTGAGCTATTTACACATTAGACAGAACAGGTGGGATGGAGAGCAGTACATATGAACCATAAGTACAAAAACAAGAATGTCTGCTGATCCCGAGGAGACACTGATACAACTGCTGCTGCTGCTTTTGCTATCAGTATACATAAGGTGCTACAGCCCACTAGACCACTATATTACACTACATGTGTAACCACTGACATAGACTGGAGTGCAGTGAGTCCAATAATGTCATATTCTATGCATTTTAAACCTCTGCTGTGGGTGGAATTCAAATGTCTGTGTTCTGAACACCTGATGTTAGTCTCAGATCAATATCCAACCAAGTGGATAAATACATCAAACTGAAATTAAATTGCTTCTTATTGTGTACCTTTATATAAACTACAACCCACTTTTACAACCAATGCAACAGACTACAAACGTAATGACAGTTGCTGCAGTATAAACCTGATGGGCTGGTATAGATGAAGGATAACACAGCAGGATGTCTGTGTTTGACTTCAGACAGAAACATCCACCATGTGACACCTTTAAATTTAACCATTTCATTTTAGGCCGAAAGAATTCTATGAAACATCAAATATTAAAATCAGAAAGTGAGTTTTGTCAGGGTGGAAACTACCGGGACATACATTCAAGTTCAGGTTCTTTTTTTGACAACCGATGTAGATCTGATCAAAAACATAATAAACCAAACAAACTGCATCACCTCAGCAGTGAATGGCAATGATCAGATACCTGATTTTTCTATAGAAAGCCAATATCAGCTACATACGTCAGCACAGAGCATATTGGTTGGATATGAAAACAGACGCACACTCACCCATTCCTTTGGTGTGGTTGAAGTCTCCTCTCACTATCTTACAGGAGCGGCCGTCTCCGTTACAAACACCACAGCGATCCTCTTTAGCCGAAGAGCCGATGACGCCATCGCAGCCAATTTTCTGAACACAAAAAAAAGATTTGAGAGCAACAGTAAAACAGAAGGCTGACCAGTTGCCTTTGTATTACAAACTGACGTGTGTGTGTGTGTGTGTGTGTGTGAGTTTGTATCACTGCAGGAATATATGACAGGACTCCCTCTAAACCTTTAGGTTAAGCAAAAATCTGCCTTTATTCATCTGATTTGGCCAAATGATACGCATCAGATTTTTGATCATCACACAAAGAGCACACCTTCATTAGAGCGACTAAAACACTTCTGGATAGTAAATTTCAGTCAACATTTACCAACATGTACGTTGAAATAACACTGATCATTTGTGTCACACACGTTAAGGTAGTTTGTTAAGGTTAAGGAAGGATGGTACCTTGGCTTACGTATTAAATGAGTCATGACATCCCCTCATGTTCTTTAATTCAGCATTGAATTTTTAAAATAATATTTAATCACAACCACCATTAATCCTGAATCTGATCCAAGAACTTTGAGCTGCTTAAACCAAACCTTCTCCATCATGCTTAAATATAGTATAGTCAATATAATATAAAGGTAGATGTTGTTGAGTCGTCATGTGTTGTTTGATTATAAAGCAGGTCTAGGTTCTATATTAATACTGAGAAAGTATAAAAGCCCCAGGCCACAGAGAAATGCACACAGCCTGTATTCAGAAACTGAGCCTTAAAACCAGCCGTCAGGACTTCTGGAACTTTGTGATGTCACAACAAAGCAGTCGCTGCCCTCAGCCATGCCAAAGTATCTGGTTGCATTACATTTCCAAGAAAACATAATTGCTCCAACAAACAAATGGTATATGAAGATCATGGGAGCTTGGAGACAATTACAATCATGAAAATGCATGTGCACATAAACACACTCACCGGGCACTTTATTAGGAACATAATACTAATGCTGGGTACAGCCTCAGTTCTTCATGTCATTGATTCCGCCAGATGTTGCAAACTTTCCTCTGGGACTCTGCTCCATGTCGACGTGATGATTGAGTCACATCATTTCTGTAGATCGGTCAGCTGCACATTCATGCTGCCGACCTCCTGATCTAGCACTTCCCAATGGTGTTCTACTGGATTCAGGGGACTGGGAAAGTCACTGAAGTTCACTGAACTCACTGTCATGTTCATGGATTCAGACGCTGACTCTACCATCTGCTGCCTCAGCACAAATCCAGATCCATCAGACCAGGTCTTCAGCTGTCCAGTGTTGGTGAGTCTGTGTCCACTGCAGCCTCGGGTTTCTGTTCTTGGTGACAGGAAGTGGAGCCTAACGTTGTCTTCTGCTGTTGTAGGTTGTACGTGTTGTTCACTCTGAAGCTTCTCTGCTCAGTACAGTTGTAAAGAGTGGTTAACTGAGTAGCCTTTCTATCAGCTCCAACTAGTCTGTCCATTCTCCTCTGACCTCTGACCTCTCTCGTCAACACAGAGCTGCTGCTCAATGGATGTTTTTTTGTTGTTGTTCCATTCTGAGTAAAAACTCTCGAGAATGTTGTGTATGAAAATCCAGGAGATCAGCAGTTTGCGAAAGACTCAGACCAGCGTCTGACACCAACAATCATGTTACAGTCAAAGTCACAGTTACATTTTTCTCCATTCTGATGTTTGATGTGAACATTAACATTAAGCTCCTAGGATTTTTTGCATTATGCATTGCACTCCTAACACATGACTGGCTGAATGGGTAATTACGTGATTAAAGTGCTCATTGAGTGAACATTCAAAGAGACGAAACATGCAAAGCACATATGCATGAACACATTAACATGCAGTGAGGAAATTGGTCACAAAAAAGGAGGCACATAAGAAAGTGGATGAATGACAATACAACTAAATAAATTATGATAAAATATATCAAAGCTTATAAAAAGACCATCTGAAAAAGCTCTTTAAGGAAATCAAATATTTTCAAAGGAGATTTACAAGCAAATGCAGCAGCAACTAACCTGAGATCTTACAGCAAGTCAATGCAAAGCTTCGGGGTTTGACTGCAAATGGGTTAAGGTTTCACTAATGTGCGAAATGTAAGACCATGCATGGTTTTATAAATGAACTTATAACTCTAAAAGCAGAGATGGCACCTGCAGCAGGAATGAATGTTTCATCCAGTTTCTTAGATGCATTTTGTAAATAATATAATGATACATTTCCCTTAAACCCCCTTACCCTAACTGTAACCATCATAACTAAATGCCTAACCCCAATCCCAACCATAACCTACACACAGTGCAAGAGAAAGTAATGCATGCCGCAGTTTGCTGAATCATAGGGCCATGTGGTCCTCGCCAGTTCCCTTAGACTTCCAGCCAGACAGTATATTTTCACAGCTACTCTGAATATATTCCTCTCCTCTTTTCCACCTTTTCTTCTCTCTCTCCTTCTCAGTGTTTTCATAGTTGGCCCAAGTTTCACATGCTAGGCTTAAAAAAAAAAAAAAAAAACCATCCATGCCACCTCCACCCTCGGTAACTTCAGTACGTGCCTCGTCTTTGTCTGCAGATCTCATTCTCCATCCCCCAACTCCCCCACCGCTTCCCCCTCTCAGGTGAAAGACAGAGCCAGTGCGCAGGTTGAATGCTTTAGCAGAGCCCGACAGATACATGACGAGGATGTTTGAAATTGACAAAGCAGGAGGGGAGCGGACCAGAGGAAAGACACGAGAGACAAGAAACCCGGTTCGATTCCTGACGGTTCGGCCGGGTTCTGGTGCTGAGCTTTGCAGGTGCATGGCGGGTTTGCAAAACTGGACACGTGAACAACTCAGAACAGAAGATGAAAAACGTTGGTCAAATGCTTAATAACATTTCTTTTCTCTGCATATAGGCAGACAGGTTGTTCATGTCTGGATGATGTTGATCACTTTTTGGTTTTGTATTTGTTCGGAGGTACAGCCCACCGCATGGGATGTGGAAACATTTCACACACTAACTAGAGGTCTATGTGATTTGTAGTAAAAATCACCTGTCGGAAGATTAAAAAGAAACGAATGAAGGTATCCAGACTGTGCCAGCTATGCATAATGTGCTATTATGGTTTGGGAGAGATGTGAGTGTGTGTGTCTGTCATCAAGTGGGTCTGAGCAGGAAACGCAATTTCAAACTGCACTGAAACAGAGCTTGTGCTTGTTAAATCTGCATGTGTGACTGTGGTTAAATTAAATACATACACACACACACACACAGACACACACACACACACACACGCAGAGCAAGAGCTAACATATGTAAAAGCACACACATGCATTGTGTGCTTCAGCTGTACTCATTCTAAGTGATCTTGCAGTTAAGGATACATGAGTCATTACTGAAATGTGAGAAGTAAGTATTTTGTGAGCACATGTGCGTCATGATAATTGCATCCATATTTGACTTTCTGGACCAGCCCCTCTCTCTCTCTCTCTCTCTCTCTCTCTCTCTCTCTCACTCTCTCCCTTGGCCAGGAGGAAGGGGGGGGGAATTCCTCCCAAATGTACCAGCATCCAATATTTGCTAATAAACACAAAAGACTGACTGTAGTCGAGACACCAGATCCAAATAAACCCCCCAACCCTGCCCTGGGGAGCAGGCCATGGATTCACTCCACCACTGCTAACTGCTAATGAATGAGGTACTCTGCTGATCCCAGTAGAGACCTCCTTCACAGCTCTGCACTGGGACATGTGTTTATTTGTCTATTTATTTTATGGCTGCTGGATTTTTTTCAGTGATGACAATGTTTCCAAAAGACTCAAAAGACTTAACTTATGGACCAGTCTCTACAACAACCAGCTCATCCTATAGCCATGACACTGGATTCTGGCTATATTATATTAGCTGCTGATGTCATTATCATATGACACTGTTTTTAGTTACCATTGTCCCATTTCAATATAAAGCTTAACCTAGAAGCTACTTTAACTCTGATGCAAGAGTTAAGACTTATGATACCACCTCGTATACTCCCACAATCCTCTTCTGCTTTGGAAAGAAACATACAGGTTCCATCTGTGTCTCTGGAAGGATGCGAATACTGTTACACAGCACAAAAAAAAAAAATCACACTTCTTCAATCTACATTGTTCTCATCTGTGACATCACTGTCAATTCATAAGGTTTGGTAAGGTTTAGGCACAAAAACATCTTGATTAGGATGGAGGAAAAACCGGATCACGTATAAATGAAACCAATGTTTATTGGTGCAGGACACAGGAAGCAGACAGTGGCCTCCTGTGATAAAGTCACAGACCCATCCATCCACACTGACTTCACCCGTATGAGTTTTTGTGGCTCTATGATGTCACAAACTTTGCCCTTTGCACTTAACAAACTAAAGTCATAATTCACATGGCTGCTAGAGGTTCTTGTCATGTTTATGCATGAGTGCCTCTTGATCAGCAGGAGAGAGCAATTCAGAGATACCTCCCGTCCTGCTGCTGCTGAAAAGGAGGCAGGTGAGAGCCTCGTTAGAAGCACATGGACTGTTCCCGATATTACATGATGAATAAACTGTTCATCAGAGTGATGTGAAGTGGGAGGAAAAACTGTTTTTGTATTTTTGTCGTCACACAACAGGTTGTTTCCAGGGCGTGGGAGGTCTTCAGTGATGTTTCCTGCTCACTTCCTGATTCTGGAGGTGTTCAGGTCCTGGATGGTGGGCAGGTCGGCACCAGTGATCTTTTCTACAGTCCTGACTGTCTGTTGTAGTCTGTACCTGGCTTGTTTAATGGCCAAGAGAAACCAGACAGTAATGGATGTGCACAGAACAGACTGGATGTTTGAAGTGCAGAACTGGATCAGAACTAAGACAGGTTGAACTTCCGGAGCTGGTGCACAAAGAACTTCCTCTGCTGGCTCTTTTTGAGTAGACGTTGGATACCCATGTCAGGCCCTGGAAGATTTCGGCTTCCATAGCTAGCACAGTGCTGTCCAGTAAGGTGAAGAGGGGCAGTCTTAGGGGGTTCCTCCTGAAGTCCACTGTCATCTCCACAGGTTGGAGAGTGTTCAGCTCCAGGTTGTTGTGAGGGCCAGCTGTTCCGCCTCCAGCATCTCAGATGAGTCTGACGACTGATGTGTCGTCTGCAAATTTCAGTTTACCAGCCGGGTCTCCTAAGGTGCACTCAGAGTAGAGTGACAAGAGCACTGGGAAGAACACATATCCCTTGGGGGGGTGCTAGTGATCACTGTGTGGGTGCTGGATGTGATTTTCCCCAGCAGCATCTGCTGTTTCCTGTCTGTCATCGTTGGTGATCCACTGACAGGTGGAGGCCGGCACAGTGCGCTGGGTGAGTTTGGACCAGAGGACTTCTGGGCTGATGGTGTTGAAGGTAAAGTTGAAGTCCAAAAACTGGTTTCTTGCATATTTCCCTGGGGAGTCAGTGTTGCATGATGTAGTGCAGTCCCGTGCTGACTGCATCATCCACTAACCCGTTTGCCCGGTGGCCGGACTGCAGGGGCTCAGGGAGGGGGTCTAGGTGTGGGCCTGTGTCCTTCAGGAGGGTCAGCAACAGTTTCTCAAAAGGATTTATAACCACAGACGTCAGAGCGACAGGCCCGCAGTCATTGAGTCCTGTGATAGTGTTTCTACGTGTCCAGGATGATTGTGGAGCGTTTAAGCCAGGAGCGGACTTCACATAGCTCTGGTGATCTGGTGCAGATCTGAGTGAAGATGGGGGCCAGGCTGGTCAGCACACACTTTCAGACAGGAGGGTGACACGCTGTCTGGGCCTGATGCCTTCCTGATCCTCTGTCTCCAAAAACAGCTGGATGTGTGGTGTCTGGGACTGAGTGGGTGACGGGTGTGAATGTGGGTTTATCAAACCTACAGTGAAACACATTCAGGTCATCAGCCACATGATGCTTCTCCGTAGTGTTGGACGCTTTCCTGTGGCTGGTGACGTCCTGCAGGCCTCTCCACAATGACGAAGGGTCGTTAGCTAAGAACCTCTTTTCAGCTTTTCAGTGTAGCTCGTTTTTTGCAACTTCTGCAATCTCTTTGGTCAGTGGTTCCAGATCCTGTCCGCACCATCTGTACACCAACTTTTGTTCATGTAAAAAGCAGATTCCACCTCCCCTTGTTTTCCCCGATTACTCTGTTACATGGTCGGCTCAGTGGAGATGAAAACCAGGCAGCTGTATTGAGGTGTCCGAGATGGACTCACTGAGCTTTCAGTAAAGCACAGGGCAGCCGAGCGTGAACAGTCAGAGTTTGTTTTGCCAATGAGCAGCAGTTCATCCACTTTGTTGGCTAGAGAAATAGGGATTCCCCAGGTGAATGGATGGGAACTGTGTTCAAAATCCCCACTCTGACCAAGATCTCCACAAAACTAGGTGAAAAATTGTGTCAGAAGACTGTTGGATGTTAAGCAGTTCTTCTCTAGTGAATGTTGGAGTCGCAAAAGGCGGAACAACGAGACAAAAACAGTGAAAGCACGACAGGGTAAAGAACCGAGGCAACCAACCTGGATTGGAAATGAAATGATGTATTAAGACTCGTGCTAAATTCGGATGGAAACAACGACTGGTGTTGGAGGTAAACAGCAGCACCTCCGCAGCACTGTCTGTTCCAGCGACTCACCTCAAAGTCTAGAACTTTGATTCTTAATGAAATTCCTGCAGACTCACACACAGAGCAGAGGAGCATGAGGTGCTGAAAAGCTTACACTGCATGAGAGATACCTACGGTCGACTGAGTGACTGAGTGAAGAATAAGACTAAATCGTTATGTTAGTGATGTCACGGAAAGCATGGATGAGAAGCGCAGGCAGGCCACCAGGCCAAAGGAAGTCTATTCATATTCGGTGTGAACCATTCTATGAAATGATTTTGAAGGTGTATGCATGTGTGTATGTGACTGTGTGTATGTACCTGACACCTCCCGTTAACGCACAGGTCCGCCTCATATGGTCCACAAGGCGTCCCATCCATCACTCTGTCAGCCATCAGGGCTGGGACATCTCGACCCACCGGGCTGCAGAACAACACACACGGCTTCTCTGCTCACACACACACACACACACACACACACACACACACACACACACACACACACACACACACAAGATCATGTCATATCGTTAACATACTGGTAAAGCATAAAAATAAGGATGTGTTTCCATCTAACGTTAAGCAGAATTAATAAAAGAAATAATGACAGCAAACACAAGAAAGGAATTCAGTGCAACCAACTAATCCTTTCTCCTTAACTTAATGTAAATATATAAGTTTTGTCAAGTTCTTTCAACTTAGAATATCTAGTTTTAATTTTAGAACTTGAGCTGGTCTTTTGACTTGAAGCGATGAGTTGAATGAAAGTTCACTCAACTTTGAGGAGCGCAGTGGGAACAGAGAAGTTGAGTGGACAAGGCTCGTGTGAGTAGAAAAGAAAAGGCAACGACTGCAGGGAGGTGTAGAACAAACTCACTGAGGGTGTTGACTCACACTTAAGAGGAGAACAGCAATAACCACTGTATTCCTTAAAACGGTCATAATCCCACAATCCTTTTTAAAACCGTAAATTGTGTGATTGGCCCCCTGCTCGGCCGGCCAGTCGATTCTTCCTCAGAGAGACGTGAGGAATGCATTAATTATTTCATTAACAAACATTGTTGAGATTAGACATCACTTTAACACTGATTGCACAGAGCTTCACGCACTGTTGCACTCTCTAAATCATCCACCTGCCCTATTTTTTACAAATCTAATGAAAATAAAAGGAAAAATTGAAATATCACATTGACAGAAGTATTCGGACACTCCCATTTCTCTTGATCATCTCTGAGATGTTTCTACACTCTGATTGGAGTCCACCTGTGGTAAATTTAATAGATTAGACATGATTTGGTAAGACACACACCGGTATCACAACTGACAGAGAAAAACCAAGCCATGCAGAGCTCAGAGACAGGACCATGTCCAGGCACAAGTCTGGAGAAGTCTACAGAAAGATCTGCTGCTCTGAAGCTTCCAAAGAGCACAGTGGCCTCCGTGTTTCTTAAATGGAAGAATTTTGGAACAACCAGGACTCTTCCTGGAGCCAAATTGAGCAATCATGGGAGAAGGCCTTGGTAAGAGAGGTGACCAAGAACCTGATGGTCACTCTGGATGAGCTCCAGAGATCCCGCGTGCAGATGGAGAAACTTCCAGAGGGACGACCATCACTGCACTGATCTGAGCTTATTAACCACTCTCCTGGACGAATGAAAGAGGATGAAGGCATGACATTCATCTACCTCAACAGAAACATATTCACATACTGTTAGAATAAAAGTAAACAGCTGTAATGACGTGAACAGCACTTATTAAATAGCAGAACACTGGCAGCAGTGCTTCTGGAGGAGAATATAGGAGTGGGTGTTTGGATACATATCAATCCACTTTGGGAAGACATTAGAAGTCAAAGTGAGATAAAGATCACAGGAATTGCATGAGATCCTGACTTCAGTTTTTCTGGCCAGTGATATGACACCTGTGGTGAATTATAGTCTCCAGCCCATGTATTACCTATCCAAATTCCATAGCTGCATCCCAGTTCAGAATCTGGGCCAACAAAAAGTTTATCTGCAGTAAGCTGCCCAGCATCAACCAGCTGAATGTAATGGTATTAATATTGTATTAATAATAAATGCGTAGTGTATCCATAACCCCACAGCATGGTCCCCTGCCTGGCCTTCATGGACACTGGCATTAAACTAGTCTGCATTGGGCCTGGATGCTGCAACATCACGGACGGTCACCCTGACACCGCGAGATGGATCCAGGGGTTTTTTCACCAGAACCGGGGCCCAAGGCTCTGGTGTATAGCTCCACATAAAATCCAGCTGGAGCATTTTAATCCAGATTTGTTCGTCTGTTCTGCTCATTTCAGCGCTGAAACGCTAATATTACGCGTGGGTTTAACAAGCTACAGTAGTAGGCTGCAACCCGTGACCTGTGGTTGGCGTGGTCTTGCGTGACCCAGAAAACAGTCAGTCTGAGCGACCTGTTGTGGGATATGGGACCTTTAAGTTGTTTCTGTTGTCTCTATAGATACAGTATGTACAGAAATAATTACATACAATCTAATTCTAGAGGTTCTATATATGAAGCTGCATGTAAGCTGATTTGATGTTTACAATGCTTATCTATGACATGCAACGCGTATCTTTATCTATAACATGCTACATATTCTCATTGCATCATACAATATTTTTCATACACACTTTATACTCTTTATGAAATGTGTTCTATATTTGGTCTGTGTTTACATGGGTCATATCTTTCATTTCATTGTTTGCTTTAGTCCAGGTTCGTGTCTCAAGCTTACAGGCTACAGTGTGGATATTTTTGGTTATCCCATTTACTAATATTTACAGTATATACTTATTTATATTCTTGTATAGTTTCCCTGCACAGTAGTATTTTCTCTAACCTAGGTTGTATATACTGTGGTCGAAAGTATCGCCCCCTCTTTCAAGCTTCTTACTGACACCCTGGTGTTTAGTGGTGTAATATGACAAAGCACAAGAAGCACACAGATATGTTTGATTCATTTAGTATTGACATATGGTCTGTGTGTTTAAATCTGTCTGTAGTGTAAACAATCAAAGGATAAAATGTGTGTATAAGATCCTGAACATGCTGCAACTTGTTGGTGTAAATTCTCTGGCTCTTCGTGGCTTTTAAGTAACACATTAGTATCGCTCCAACACTGAGAACCTTAAAGGTTCCATATTGTAGAGAGTGAGGTCCATGTATTTTTTGATTGTAAAGCAGGTCTAGGTTTTATATTAATACGCCCTCAGCATGGCCCACCTGGACCCACCATCCACTGTTTTTTTGTTTTTTTGTTGTTGTTTATTAAAAACACAACACCAAGTGGTCATTCTGTCGCTGACCTAGCAAGTTACACGGCAGGAAAATGTGGAGGAAACTCTGCATAATCGTTGGATGTCAGGAAGCCTATATACCACTGCACAGTCTCCCCAAGGGTAGTAATATGTGGTTGGCCTGGCCGTGTGCCGCTCAGAAAACAGTCAGCCAATCAGAGGACAGGTTCAGACACAGACACACAACACCCTGTTGTTACTGGAGCTCCAGAGAGGAGATGTAAAACTATATTGAGATGGTTTTAGGTTCTCAAACCAAATATATCTGTTTACAGATATCAAAACTTCTAACAAAATACTTGAAAAGAGTGAAACATGGAACCGTTGATGCAGATATTCCATTCTGCGCAATAAAAAACATTCGTGTTACGGCTGAAAATTTGAAGAAGTTCTGTCAAGGCGTGACTGACATATTTTGTCCACGAGAATGGGACCTATGTATGTATGTATGTATGTATGTATGGAAGGACACCCTGAAGACAAAATGCCTCCGGCTCTGGCAGTCGCTGACGCAGAGAGAGATACAAACTAAACCAAAAGTGACTTTACCTTCTGATTGTGCCTCCTACATTTTGGGACTGACTCCCGGTACCACTGTCATGCACCACGTTGCCTATGATGAGGAATTAGCTGATGGGTGAGGGGGTTATCGCTACAGCAGGAAGCTGTATGTCTGTGTTCATGTGCGTCTCACCGTCATTAATAATAGCAGTCAGCATGCTGCCCTTCTTCTTGCTGGCGTGTCGGTCGTAGGACAGACACTGCAGGTCTCTGAAGCTGGGGGCCCCTTTGGGACAGGGGGGACCTTCACAGGCTTTGTGCTCCACACTGGCCTTCTGACAGTGTCGCCCGCCAGGACCAGGCCTGTGTATACACATACACACACACACACACACACACACACACACACACACACACACATTACACACAGTATGAACAGTCACAGTTTAGGACACTAGTAAACAGAGGCTAACACTTGTTTTTAAGCATCCAACAAGATACACTGAACACATTTTTGAGTCAGTATGATGCAGACAGGTCAGCGTCACTGAAAACGAATCATGCATGAAAATAGTGAATTATTTTCATGCATGCTTGTATGGAAGCTGACCTGAATGTCAATTAGAATCAGTTTAGTTGGAGGGCAGTGTAGCAGTCAGTTCTATAAGAGGAATTGCGTGCTGTGGTGTTACTGCCAGTATCACATTACAGTACCTCACAGACTCACAGAGATCCAATACTCACTCTGTATAGGCACAGTTTAATTTCAAGGTAATCACCCATGATTGGAAAATATGACAGTGTGTGGGTACAGACATAGGAAAGTCTGTCAGACTCTTTTTTTTTAAGTTTCATGAGTCGTCAGGGTATCAATCAGCAGGTGATAAAAACAGCTGAATGCTCCATGGAGATCTGCATCCAGTGTCTGTTTCACAAAATAACATCCATTCTACACCTACAGCAGAGATTAGAGAATTTGTTTTTGCCACTGCAGACACACTGACGGTGGATTCATCAAATGTGGCATCTATTCAAAATTCACTTTAAATCCAAATTTGGCACACACAACTTGGACCTGTTTTCTCCTGAGTGGAACCTCACAACATCCCATTGGGGCCCTACTGGAGAAAATGAACCAATTACCTTGGCAAAGCACAACCCTGTTTTTCTAGTTATTATATGTGTGCTATCATACATATTAAAAACGTGTTGACATTGTAATACTCTTTATTTTTTAACCTAAATTCTCTTTCTCTCTCTCTTTCTCTCTCTCTCTCACACACACACACACACACACACACACACACACACAGACAGAGAGGTGACATACGGAGGGTTGTCACATTTCCTCTGTCTGAACTGGACTCCAGTACCGCAGGTCCTGCTGCACATGCTCCACTGGCTCCATGGACTCCAGTCGCCGTCCACATGCTGAGGGATGGGAGTCTTACTGACACACTCGCCTGCCCTGCACCACTGACACACACACACACACACACGCACGCACGCACACACTGAGATTAAAATCATTTCAAATACACGAAACACTCATCACAGTCTTCTGTCAGAAGCTGTTGCCTGACAGCACAGTGTGTGTGTGAGTGAGTTAGTTCTACCTTGTCTGCTCCACACTCTGTTCCATCCAGAGGAGGATCCAGTTTGGTCTTGCAAGATGCATCTCCTTCTACTAAACACCACAGGCCAGCACACATGAGGCACACAGACATACACACACACACACACACACACACGCACGCACGCACACACAGAGAGAGAGAGAGAGAGAAAGAGAGAGAGAGAGAGAGAGAGAGAAATATGGGATACCATAAATTCTCACATACATTCCATCATTCCCAAAGTAAATTCAGCATCAGATTGATTTACTGTCAAATTCCATCAGTATAACAACAGACTCATGTCATGCTCACTACTCTGCAAAAAAAAAAAAAAATCAGGAAAGTGAAAGATTATGAACCACTAGAGGGCTTTTAATGTGAAACATCTGTGTACCTGTTGCGTTTGCAGTAACAGAAAACAGCATGATGATATGATAGAAATAAAGGAAAAATGAAAATAAAGATCTGTCTCCATTATAAGCCTTTCTAGAATAAAAGTCTGGTTTTCTCTTAGGTGAAGAAAAATGAAGGCTCTGGACATGATTAGAGAATTTACAGTATGTCAGATTTTGAATGAGTTAAACCCTGAGGCACCACATTAAATATACAGCCCTGAGGCAGCAACCAAAATGGTCAGAAGCAGTTCTGTTTACTCTGAATGTCTGACAGTTTCCCAATCAAATCACAGGCTTGAAGCTCAGAGTGCTCGTGTTTCTGGTGCTGACATGTTACATGTGTGTATTAAGTCATTACCAGGTGCATTCACACTGCAGCAACTCGCTTAATATTATGCTTCAGTCACAGAGTTCCGACTTCTGGAATCTAAAGCATTTTACAACTAAAAACTGTGAAAGACAAAAAATGCAAAAATGAACACTTGTTCACTTTGCCTCAAGCCTCCATGCCTCTACTAGCTACTGTATGTATACTGTACCACTACAATGACCTGCATGTGACCAGTTTTAGTCTGGTGTCCATAGACAGTTGAAGTCTGATTCCATTGTTCGTTCAGTCTCTTGTTCAAGGCTTCTCTGTGTCAGGGATGCAGTCTTCCCAAAAACTGCCACATATAACGTCTGATAACATAACACATAACACCACATAACTGATGTCACCACAGTGTTCCTCTCAAGACTCCCCGATATTTAAAGACGATATTTAGATGTTCTGACAGTCCAGGGAGTGTCATGATGGGATGCTTCTGGTGGTCCCTGTTGATTTAACAGAGTCTGTCCTGGTGTGAAGTCAGAGCCACCACACACATAGGCATGGGATGATATAAAAGTGTCATGTCACGATTATAATGGCAAAAATAATTGTAATTCACGATATCACTACGATAATCATGAAAATATGATTTAAACTAAAACATATTGAAATCATTTTTTTTGCATAAAGTCCTATCTGAACAGTGTAATGTTAGAGTGGAGAGCAGTGGAAATGCTGTAGATAGTCATTTCTACATGCATACATCCTATTAAACCATCACACTTACATTTATTGTTATGGTTGATAAATACATGTAGAGTGATGTTCAATGTACATGCAAGGAGATGCTCTGTCAAATAAAATAAATTATGATTGATTTGAACTGTTCCTTATGGTCTGTGGTCAAATTAATGTTCTAGAAAAACAATAGTAAACTGCAGTGAATTCATCAGAGAACGCAGCTAAGCCCCGTCTGAGACAGCAGAAAAATCTGATCAGATGTAAAAGATGAAACACATTAGGTATTTAGCTACATAGCTAATGCTACCTAGAGAACATTAGCTTGATTCACTTTTGACCAAAACATTAATTAACATTCACAACACACAGCATCATAATGTAACAAAGATTCAGATAAATGTCAACGTTACATACTCAAATGTTAGTTAAGTAACGGTAACTTGCAGTAACATTAGTTAATTTTAACCGCGAACAAAGCTAAATGGTTGTCATGGAGATAGGAGTTCAAATTGGAGGTGTTTGTTCCTGTCGTTCATTGTTTTGGAATCAACAGTATTTCCACACACCTGATTTAACTTTCTTTTGTGGCGGAGATACAATGGTGTAGTGAGGAAATGTGGGGGAGGCTCTCCGTCTCCCCATGGACACTCTTGGGGAAGAGACCCTGTGTACCTGAGAAGTGATTACCGATGACTGTCGCCAGTGCTAAAGGGTGTGGGGGATCACGCTGAAAGAAAGAAGTGGGCAACAGTTGGATGACGTGTGAGACAGACTGAACTTCTTCTGACTGTGGCTGAGGCCGGGGCACCGTAGCCTTTTTTTTGTTGCCAACAGTGAAGACAGTTAAGCAGGGAACCGTTCCTGTGTTAGGAGGGGAGGCTAGACGCCTCCTTTACAAAGAGAAGGACCAGGGACTAGTGGTGCCCCTGCGACCCACGGGTTGTTTATCTTCCTAACTCCACCTCACACATAACGCTGTCTCCAGCCATCTCGGTTGCTGTGGGCGCCTCCCAGGTCTACGGGGGACTCCATGGTCACTCTTGTCGTCAGACCGGGGCGAGATAAAATAAAACCTACAACATTTTCATGTTTAATGTTTGTAAATTGTCTTCTCATTTTTGGTCTTAAAAATAGATTTTAATAATTTGACACCCTGTTAAGGCTCAGTAAGAGGCAACGCTGGTAGTTAAGGAGTCCATCTGCCTCCCCCTATTGGTAGAAATGGTTCTGACCTGCATACGGTTTGGAGTGGTCCATAGAGTGATGTGCATTTTGTGTGCAGTGTGTTGGTTGCTGTGCAGTGGGACTTTGTGCAGTGTTCCTTCCCAGGGTGTGTGTTAAGTTTAAAAATAAATCGATGTAGGACTGCATGTTAGCGAGCTACACAGCATTTACAAGTCACTCATCAAGATATTCATGATGATCTCGATCATGGAAATCCACCATAAAGAACTTGTTGTAAGTGGTTTTGATCGCCACATGTGACAAAATCGTACATGGTCCCATCCCCACACACGCATAACACTCACCATAACACACTGTATGACTCTGATCCACCTCTCACATTACTTATGTCTGATACTACATACTACAGGGAGCCCACTCACACAGGCCAGTATCTTTATCTGAACTCTCACTTACAACCAAATACAGGTGATGAGGACCACCAGAATCATCCCAGTGGGACTCCCATATGGCTAGACTGTCAGAACATCTAACCAGAGTCACAGGGTGTCTGGGGGACCCCCCAAGAGGAAGGTGGTGGCATACATCATCATGACATCACATGTGACAGCTGTGCAGAACAGGAAAGCAAAGAACACACATGAAAACCAGACCAAACCTGGTAAAAGCATCCACTGGGAAGAGTTCAAACGTCATCAACTGGGAGTCAGTCCCACATTGTTAAACAGAATAATATGTGACATTTAAAATACTGGGATAAATGGAGTGCGTTGTACCTCCATGTCATTGCAGAAAGTGGCATTGGTTCCAAACAGGATCTGGCACTGTTCATCCACGCTGTAGTGCATGCCCGGCAGCTTGGGAGGCAGCCGGACCTGGTAACGGCTCCTGGGGTCTGTGTGCAGTAGGCAGGCGCTGGCTTTGGATCTGTTTGAAAGGCACAAAAGAGAAGGATTCATACTGCGTGCTTACCAGTCAGCTGTTTCACTTCCAAGAGTTTTGTTTTCATTGTCAAATCTGAGTCCAAGAGAGACTTGGCATTTACATGGCAAATTTGAACAATGCTAGTTGTTATTTTGAAAGCAGATGCAGATGAGCATTGATGGTGACATCAAAGCATTTACAGTATGAGCCAAAGCTAAGACTCCATTGTATGTGTGATGTCTGTCTATCGTTTGTGCATGTTTCCTGGGGCTGGGTTTATTGTCCAGCAGAATATTTTATCTTTGTCTGAAAAAATGCAGTTTGTGGATTAATTCACAGTGACAACTGCCTTTACCATTAGAAAATGTAGGGAACGGTCCAAAGCCACAAGGAGCCCTAATTTTTATAGTTACTACTGCATGATGTTCAGATATAAAATACATCTACACTCACCAAGCACTTATTAAGAACACCATACTACGTAGGACTCTGTTTGCTCTCAAACAGTGGCACTGGCACAGGAGCCATATTACAGACACTTCTTATCTTAAGTCCAGATCCAAATCCTCACTAATTATAAGAAACCTATCTTATCTTACATTATACTATGTTTCACCTCAGGTTAGGAAATCCTAAATACTCAATCCAACATGGGTTAACAGTTAGCCTACCTAGCACCCGATGCTACTTTTCTTATCTTATCTCACTGGGGTATTTTTATAACCTATTAGACTTCTAATTGAAATATACAAAAAAGGCCACTTTACTCCAAAAACCCCCATTAGCAATAAATAAATAAATAAATAAATAAAAATGAAGCACATTTTTCAGTTGCACCACAACAACTATACTAACGACCGTTTTGTCATCAAACTGCAACACATCTTCAGGGTCTGCCATAAGCGTCTCAATAAATAAGTTCCGTCTGTTGACATTTCCTTGGTTGCAATAAAAGAGCAGCCAGTGAACTACACAAGTTAGGTAAGTAGTGGAAAAAATTAAGTTGTAGTGTTATGTAATCACGTTGGCATTTTACCTGTGAAGGACGTCACAAGGGGCGGAGCCAGTTGGGTAGCGTGGAATATAACCATGAGTCATGTATGTTATGGTTCACCTGCCATGAGTTAAAGTAAAAGTTCTGACCGCTAAACTAAAAGTATTATTTATTGTATGAGAATGAACCCAACACAACATGGTGTCAGAGGCGGAGCTGCTTTGAGCTACGGCCCGGAGGAAGGAAAGTGCACGGCTAGCAAACGACTAGCACGCTAGAGAAAAAAAAAGATAGCAACATGGAGGACGAGGCAGCGGCACCCCGGCCGGGAATCGCGGCACCTCCGACGGCAACTTTCACCATTAAACCTCCGGAACCCTTTGACTTCTCGAAGCCACAGGACTGGGAGAAGTGGACAAGGAGATTTGAGCGTTTCAGACTGGCAAGTAATTTGAACAATTCCTCTGCAGCTAACCAGGTATACACACTGGTGCACTGCATGGGAGACGAGGCTGACGACGTGATACGAGGGCTCGACTTAACGAGCGTGCAGCGCCAGCTATATGATGCAGTTAAAAGAGGATATGACACATAATATGTTCCAAAGAAAAACGTGATTTATGAACGGGCTAAATTCAACAAGAGAGTACAGCATCCTACTGAAACAGTAGACTCGTTCATCACAGCACTTTATGCACTAGCAGAGAACTGTGAGCATGGGGAACTGCACAGTGAACTTTAGAGGGACAGATTGGTTGTAGATCTTAAGGATCCATCACTGTCAGAGAGGATGCAACTTGACCTCACCATGGTTACTGTGTACAGCTGTAGCCTCAGAATTTTTAGGACATACAAATGTAAACTGCATTAAGAAAAAGAAACTAAAATGTCTTTATTATTTGCAGACTAAAACTAACGATGATCAAATAGAAGAAACTCTAATAACTAACGAACTTTAATTATTAATTTGATTATTATACATTGTCATACATTACTCAGAATTAGGTCTGCAGCAACATTCTATTTTCAAAATTGCAGTAGATGTTTGGAGAAGCTGAAACTCAGCTTCTAGACAGAAAAAGGTCTAAATGTCATTATCATTTAAATGAGCTCAACTCCACTTTGATGATGCAGATCTAGGTGATGATTTTGCTGTAAAAGAAAATGTGTTTCCATTTTCTCAGTGTTTGTGGTGTTTGGTATCAGTGAGTTGGAGACATTTCTTTTGTGCTTCTTCACAGATCATTGTCCAGGTCTGATAAATCACTCAGCCTGTTAGAAAACGTCCCATTACAACAAGCTGAGATTCTAACCTCAGATGACATGGAATTACTAAATGAGTAAAGAACATATTTGAACTGTAATCAATCTGCAAGTTAAGATCTGGGAGTGTGAGGGACAGATTCACGAATGCAAAACAGGTTTTTAGCATAAATCCTGTTTTACATTCACCAGAAACCAGCCCTGGAAACTAGCCCTCATAATGTTCTTTAGATGTTTGTCAGATTCTGAGCATGTGAGGACCCACCCACATCTGACTGTCAGGCTCTCAGCTTTTTTCAATTTCACTCTTTTAGAGGAATGGCCAGTGGGCAGATGTTGTTCAGACGCTGGAGTCTAACAGAGAGATGTTTTACTTCCAGGTTCATTTAGTGGAGTTCCCTCTGAACTCAGTTGCATATGAGGGAATCAAAGTGAAAGTGAACAGCTTAGGAAGACCTGGTGTAGGTCACATTACACAACTTCTTTTGTACGTTATATTCAATTATAATAATAATAGTAATATTACAATTCTCTCAAAACCTGCTTTTATTCTTACAGAATTAACCAGTCGATGCTACAGCAACAATAAATGTTTACACTTGTGCTTCCACTGACTGAAGCGTTTTATGACACAAACAACAGATAAGTAAATTTAATTACTTAAAAACCACCGTTGGTTCACTGTTCATAGATCATTTTCTTAAGTACTATTTTATGTCACTTGTACTTTAATGGAGTGTTGACATTCCAATATATGATACTTAATATAAATGTACATCATCACATTTTAGAGTGAACTATTGTTTTTTTTTTTTTACTCTTCTGCATATATTTTTCAGCTGTATAGAAAAGTTACTTTGAAGATTAAAAAACATGAAACTTATAAAACACAACAAATGTAAAGATTAAACTGGTGGTTCCAAACGTTCTTGGTTTCTCACCCTTCATAAGAAAGTAGTGTGTAGTTGAGACCCCTGTCACGTTTGAGATGAGCTGTCAGTAGAGACATTTCCCCTGTAAACCTCTAAGATGTTTGAGGTCAAAATATCTAATATTTCACCCAAAAAGCAAAAAATGAAAATTTGTTTATCAAAACTTTGTTTTCTCTTCTTCCCTCCCCCATTAATCGTCTCACAACCCTCAGTCAGATTCATCTCATGACTTTTAGAATCAGTCCCAAGGCTATTTTGTCTGCAGAACAAGTACTTTTACTTTTGATACTTTATGCACATTTTGCCAGAAATACTTTTGTATTTACACTTTAAGTTCAGATGAAACCATATTTTGTTATCCCTTTTCAAATGATGTAAATGATAATGTCAGCATCTTTTTTTTTTATGTATTTCAATAGTGTTATACTATTGAGAGGAAGAGAAAGGGGGCTTCAGGGGAATATCAGAGATGCTCCTGTATGTCTCAGCTGGGTGGAGGAGAATGCCTGGGTCTGTGTCTGACTGACTGAAGCTGGTAGGTTGAGCTCTGGTTCTGTCAGCCGGAGAATGAGGGGGGATGTAAACAAGTTTTGTTATCTGTGGTACTGAGGAGTAAGGAACACATCTGAATGAACCAGCGTGTCATTTGTAGATATATTTATTTTCTCTTGAATATGTTGCAATTAAGTAGCTAATTGGCTGCAGACAGATGACAAATAACATGCTTGAAAATGGAATTGTGGCTGCAGGAGGTGTAATTTTGAATAATATATATTATTGTCACATTTTATTAGATTATCATTAGTCTTCAAATAATAAAGACATTCAGTCTCTTTTTCTGAAACACAGTCTGTAACTTCTGCCTTTAGGGGTCTATCAATCAAAACAATAACAAAAGACAGCGTTGGGTGATGACATGAAATAGCGTGGGATCATGGGAGTTGTTGTCTTCCCCATCATTACTGTAAGCTCCTCCCAGTTTGGCTTCCTTCTGTGTCAGTGGTTCAGGAAATCAAACAGACCTGGTGATTCTAACCGGTAAAAACACTGAATAAAGATGAATAAAGATGACGAAGAAGAGCTGGAGCTGAGATTGATGCTAAACTTTGTTTTGAACTTATGAACCAGAGCAGCTGAATTATCCACAGAGGTGTCTTTCGCTTCATAACAAATGGACCAGGAGATTAAAAACCGGTAAATGAATAAAGCAGTTTCACTTTTTAAAGACATAGACATTCTCTTTAGTCATTTTTAGATATTTTAATGTGGAAAAGTTACATATTATAACTTGAATGCATTTCAGTTCTCATGTCTCACCATGTTTGTTGTACACAGTAACCATGGTTAAAGGCACTATTTACCTATTAATACCAGACTCTAATGGTTCACACACACAGTGCCCAGTTAAAAAAATAACACACACACAAAAAAGCACCAGAGGTAGGCAAGACAATAGATGGTTAACTCTTTTGCAACAGACTGGACTTCTTTCCTCATGAGCTGAAAGACCACATCACGGTGTTTTGAACTTATTATATAGTTGTGTTTTAAGGGGGGTGGGACTGAGTTTGAGCAGTTAGCATGGCTAAAAACACAGATGAGTCACAAATGAAAGGAAAAGAAACATAAAGTGTCTTATTAATGGTATCATTGTTCAGCAGCTTCAGTGGTTCTTGTCAAGAAAGATGGAGGGACAAACAGTGTTCTTCTACATGTTTCATTGACTGCGGTGAAGAGCACTGTCTGACACTAAGTTTTATGGCAATCTTCCCAGCAGCTATCAGCAGTTGGACAGATGAACTCATGAAATACTTAATGAACAACTACACCATTTTTAGCTCTCATCACTTGTGGAGCAAAAATTGTGTAAATCGAGCTCAGTCTCTGCCTCCTGCAGAGATGTTGTCAGGTTCTCCAACAACACCCTGAGCAAAGCCAGTGGAACAACTGCCTTATAAGCATGATAAATAGTTTTTCTGAGGTGTGTCTGAGCACAGAAAGAAAGACAGTGAGGAGACAGTTAATGGCAGCAGGCAGCTAACTGCAGCTGGTTATTCAATGTTTACCTGCTGCATTTTGACTCTCTTTTAAGCCTTATGCTAAGGCTTAAAAGCTACAAAAGTTTTTATTCACAGTCTTTATTTGTAGCAGCAGTAGGTTGCGTCGAAGTAACGTTGTTTTTGTTGTTCAAGCTAACGAGAGCCAACTGGCTGAGATTGGTATCAGTTGTTGAGCGTGCTAGCTTAAGAGAGGCAGAGGATATAGAGAGTTGAAGTCATGACGTCACGTCTGGGCTAGCCTCCATTACTCTAGCTTTTGTAACTCAATGCAATCTCTCATTATGCATTTGTGTCATCAGTCTGAAAAAAGTGTGTAGCTGTAGTTCAGTTTCCATATTCTAAGACAAACTGGAACCACGACAGCAGTTGCTATGAGAAATTGAATCCCTCGTGATTTTAACAAAGTTAAACAATGATTACTTTGTAAGCACACAAAAAAACGACAACTTCCAGGGTGGATACTTACGTCATTATAACTTGGTCTAGTCCATATCCATAAAACTCAATACTGCTCTGTTCTGAAGTCATTTTTCTAACTCTTAGCTGTAATCTCTGCTGTCTAAAAACTTCATCACCATTTTCTCCTTCTGAAATTGGGTCCTGCTCTTTTTAATTGGTAGGCCACAGTCAGTCCAGATCAGGTGCTGGCACTCCCCTGGGTTGTGTGCTAAGCCCACTCCTGTTCATGCTGCTGACACACAACTGCACTGCATCATCCAGCTGCAACCGCATCATGAAGTTTGCTGATGACAGTAGTGGGCCTCATTTACAAAGCACCTCACACATGACATCACTCTCCAATTAAATCACTGCAGCGTCTCCACTTCCTGAGTCAACTGAAGACATTGAACCTTCCTTCACCTGTCTTTGCCACATTCTACACAGTACAAGTGACAACATCCTGTACACCTGGCATCACTGGTATGGTATGGGAACTGCATAGCACCTTACAATGAGCAGCAAAAAAGATCATTGGTACTTCTCTCCCCTCCATACAACATATCTATGAATCATGGTGTGCAAGGTCCTCAGTATCATGAAGGAACCCACCTACCCTGGCCACAGCCTCTTTTGTGGTCTGTGCAAAACTTTGGACATCCTTATACTTGTCAAACAATAAGAATATTAGGCTTTTAGGCCTTAATTGACACATGAAGTAGGTGAAGAATCATTATTGACACCTGATGATAATTCTAAAGCTGATTAATTTTGACTTTTTAAACCTTTAACACTCAACACCCATGGCCCCTGGTGCATCAAGCTATGTCTCACCTGAGGAAGTTCTCCAGATCATCGCGGCTGCAGGAGGACCAGGACAGGTCGCTGGGGTTTCTTCCTTTCACCCATTCACCAGACATGATGTGGGAGTGACCAGTGCAGGTTGTGTGGTCGTCGTCATGGCTCATTCCCATGCTGAAGACAAGACATGGATACAAAGACACTGTGTCAAAGAGTAGTAGAGCTGGTCTCATCCAGTCACCTTTACAGTCTGTTTGTTTCTTTAATGAGTGAGACATACAGTGCTGTGTTCCCTACTTAATGCTAACCTTAGCAGCTGTGGAGTCTTTTCTGCAGACATAGGGATAACTTGATGGGCAGATCAATAGATGGAAGTTGTTACTATGGTGTATGTTTTTTTTTTAATTAAATTCTTCAGTCCAGTTTTGTTTTATGTGGAATCCTTCCCCTGCATCATTTCCCTGCTCCTGCAGTCTCAAATATTACAGCCATATCACCTCTGCAACTTCTCCTATGTACACAGAATTTTTTATCCACACAAAATATTGCCATATTCCTATGCTTCGTATTAAATGTATTCTGTGTAAACAGAACCAGTGTCCCTGAGAAGATGAAATGAAAACTAACTTAGATCAGAGCCATGATACAAAGGACAAATTCAGTCTCATGACTTTTGTATTGTCAATTTGCTAAATACAACTTGACACTGAATGACTCACTTCAATATAACTAAATCATTACTAATTTAACTTTGAGAGTCCACAGACACCGCGATGCAGATCAGTGTGAGCTTCAATCCAAGCTCATTAAAATTAAATATTAATTAAATAATGCAACAGGAACACAAATAGGGTTAGAAATGCGGTGTAACTCATCTTTAATCATCTCAGTGCATCACTCAACTGTACTTATAAATGTGAATTATGTGTGAAAGAATAAAGAAATGTAGTAGTATAGTACTGACAGAAATGTGTGAGAATTTTCAACTGCTTTTCAAAAAAATCTTGATTTTCTTTTGAGACAACCTGCAAGCACACACAGCTATAGCACACACATTTAAAAGAGAGCCTGAGGGAAGCTCTGACAGGAAGGATCTCTTACTCACAGAGCACACACACTGCACGTCTGTGTGAGAGAGACACACACATGGAGAGCAACACAGGAATGAGTGAGTATTGAAACAGAGAGGACTTCACTTTGGCGCAGTTACTCTGTGTGTATGTGTGTGTGTGTGTGTGTGTGTGTGTGTGTGTGTCTGTGTGTGTGTCTGTGTGTGAGAGAGAGAGAGAGAGAGAGTGTGTGTCCACCCAAAGCCATGACCTACATTTGCAAATTAAAAACAACAACCTAGTCTGAACTCCAGGCACAGACTCAGAAACTAATAAATTACAAGTGCAGACTCTTCCCCTGGTTGAAATGAAAACAATATAGAATTACATTTAAGGACTCATACTTGTCCTCATCCACAGCAGAAGATAGTGCAGTGCCTTCAAAGCAGAGAAAATAGATCAGTGTCTAAGAACTGTCCAACAGGACAGGACAGACTCATTCAGGCCAGGCTAGACAGGCCACATAATCTTTAAGACTACACCAAACATTAAATGCATATTGTATATCCTCACTGCTCACATAGATGTCATTAAATGGCTGCATGTCATTAAAATAGTACATAAAGCACAACACATCTGCTAATCTATATGACAGTTTAATATCAAAACATCTCATGTAGCTAAAGATTCACAGTCTGGTGCACTTGCTATTTATTATATCCATTTGCATGATTAGTCGGCTTTGAATCAGGATCCATCTGCTAATTGTGAACTGTTCAGGATGCTGTCTTTTAATAAGCAATCTGCATTTAAGCGGTGTATATTGCTAGATCATTCGGTAACTATGGTAACATGTGGGTGAACAAACTCCTGAGGGAAAAAGCAAGCACCCACAGGGAAATGATGCTATGTAGTGAGCATAAAAAGTCAACAGTAAATAGACATGGGGTTGAAGCATTAATGGTTAGTTTTTTTTTTTTTAAATTTAACTGTCCATTCTGACCTATCAAACTTTCCTATTGTCCAACAGCTCTCCCCCTCGGTTCCCATCACTTGGCTGAAAATGTATTATTTTTTTATGTAAACTAAAAAAAAGGGCAGTGGAAGCACCAGCAGCAAAGAGGTGGGGCGTGTGTGGAGCTGAGACATTGGTGAATGCTGGTTTTATAACTGTGGCAAGCATACCTCATGTTAGCATCATTAGCACAGCTAGTTGTCTTGGCATCTTGCTCAAAGGCTAACCCAAAGCTAATACATTTTTTTGGCTAATTACCTAGTTAACGAGCTAAGCTAACAACGTATAGTGGGTGCAGACCAGATACCTGCTAATCAGTGCTAACATATAAATAAAATAATACTAGAATTGCACTCACTTCAAAAATCTGGACTTCTTCGAATTTTGTTTGTCAATTAACCAAACAACAAGCCAAATTGTTTGTGTGATATTTGCATCAAAAATCCACTAAAAGGCACCAGCACCACAAACAGCCAAGAGATCACATTCAGTGACTTGAATGAGCTGAGGTGATGTCAAACAGACAGCTAGCGGCTGGTACAGTTATAATGAAGGGGGAAATTAGCCATAGAGACCTAAATGTTTTTTTTTGTAACAGGCTGTTTAGACCCCTACTTACGCTGTAAAGTTGCAGATTTTAACATGAGAGTCTATGGGGATTTAACTCGTTCATGGGCACACAGATGATAAGTCAAATATGATTTAGAGAAGTAACATGGCGAAGATATCACAGAATTAGTCATGGCTAGCTCACAAGGAAACCAAGTGGCTTTCTCATGACATTATCAATGGCGTGACTGAAATTTTGGCCCATAATGTACTGTGAACCTTAATTGCAGAAAAAAAAAGGTGCTGGGTTTCCTCAAAGCGTCTGGCATGGTTTCAGGAATATCAGCACAAAAAGAGCACAGTCAGTGAGACCTCTGTGTCCAACGTGCTGGACTGTGAAAACTGCAAACTACAGTTCACTAATGGAGTTTCTTGTGGAAACTGATGCTGAAGCTTTTTTTTTCTTCCACTGAAACTGTCAATGCGACAACACAGCACAGCAAACTTCACCTACAGAAAGCTCCAAAGATAGAACACTGAGAGAGGATATAAAACATCAGGACCACGATGCAGCGTTTGACATTAACCTGGAGGACCCAAGAGTGTCCCTGCTGAAGAAATATCACACTGGCTAGATGATGGAGTGAGTCACCTGAAAAGCATGTAATGCCTGTGCACCAATATGACTTCTTCCACCTACACTATAAGTCCAATCACGCCCCTCAACATGCTGTTGGATTTGAACATCAGTCCAAGTATACATACAAATCTGCCGCTTCCTGTGGGAAAGGATGGTGAACAACCGCCAATCACCTCGGCTCTTCTCCTTTATACACAAACAGTTTCACGTCCCAGTACAGTTCAGTAACCATCCTTAAGTAAGCTGATGACACAACTGTAATCGGCTCCATAAACAAGAACAGTGAGCTCAGATACAGGAAGCAGGTGACTCAAGCAGTCATTTGGTGCCACAACAACAATCTCCTGCTGAGCTAAACTCAGGAACTGACTCCAGCACAACACTCCACCCAAATCTCCCATACACATCTCTTGTGAACCCATAACAATCACAGACTCATTTAAATTTCTTGGCACACACATAAGCAATATACTGAACTGGAATATCAACTCAGACCAGTAAAAATACACAATGAGGATTCTGCCTCTCAGTCTTACATCTTGCATCTTTCATTGTCTCAGAATACTGTGATTATTATTATTGCGTAATTTTTCTCTCCTGAAAACAAGTTCCACTGTTTCCAATCATGTGGCCATTAAAGTGAAGTGAAGGTAAAAATCCCCTGCTGTACTTTGTCTTAATAACACACTGAACCAAGAGAGTGATCATGGGAAACATTCTTAAACATGTATATGTGTACTTATATTCAATATTTAAAGGTGTATGAATGGTCCAGTTTTTATCCTGTATAAACTAGTATACTGTGCCTCCCATTAAAATATCTATACAATGCCAGCCTGAGCTCAGAGTTTATATGACTTCCTTAGTGACTTTAATAGCTACTTGGCACACAAGAGAATAATTCCTTGTAGTGTGTGTGTGTGTGTGTGTGTGTGTATGCATGTGTGTGCATGTGTGTGTGTGTTTGTGTGTGTGTGTGTGTGTGTGTGGATGAGCCAGTGTGTATGCTTATGTAACAGTACTTCCATAACGTGCATGTACATGGGCAGCAGTCAGACACAGTGTGTGCCAGCTTGTTTCCTTTCCTGGCCCCCAAAGCTGGAGCCGAGCTGCGTGATGAAAAGTGTGATAACTCCTGAGGGGCCGGGGACAGCCACAGAGCTGCTACATGGGTTTGTTCATTTTGGGCTGATTTCCAGCTGATTTTCCAGGTGAATCAGCTTCTAGCCGTGACAGACGTCTTACTGTCACACAGAGTGAAGGAATAATCGGATGGTTGTGAGTCTCAGTCATTTATTTGCCTTCACTGTGAGTCCTTTAATATTAAGTATCTGCACCAAATCCAGAACCCTTATTTATCAATAGATAAAATTTAAAAAAACTTTCAGACTTTAAATTCCTATAATCTGTCGTAGCTTAGATGGGAAAAGAGTATTTTATAATAATGCTAACTTTCCCTGTCACAGTTTGTTCATTTGGTAATCTGTCTACTGCTAAAAAAGAATGCATTTGAGAGAATAGCTCAGATTGTATAGAAAATTGCCCCTACTTCCAATCTCTTTTTCATTCAACTTAAAAAAAAATAAAGAAAAAAGTTCAGCCTCACCAAAGTGCTCTGAATATCCTGGCCTCGAGAGCTCAACACAAGGCAACGTAAAAAAACACATGCAAATAGACAAAACAAACAAATTCACAAAACATCAAGTCATCAATTTGACAACACATGAGCTGCAAATACTCACAACAGAAGTGTTTCCAGGGAACACTAAAAAGTGATGAACTTGGCTGGCACACACTTGTTCAATGCTTTTAACATTAAAAGTCACAGATGGAAATTGAACAAGTGCATCCCAGCTGGCTTCATTGCTTTTTTCTTTTTAATATATTTTTTGCCTTAATTCTTCTTCGCTGGAAACACTTATGAGAAATTATTCTCACCCACAAACTTCTCTCTATGAGTCAATGTCCTCTGGGAGGAGGATATACGACTCTATTTTAAATCTCAGCAGTTCAAAAGAAGTACATCTCTACTCTCTCACTCTTGGATGTTAAACCTTTGGCACATGCTTCATTATGTTCTTTGTAATAATTATAATATTTTACATATTTACCGTCATTTACGTGATGGTGTTATTAGAAATGGCTTGTTGAATGCCGTCCTACCCATTGTACAAAATGAGGCAAGTTCCTAACAACTCTTGCTGTCATGACAACAAAGTAAAATCAACTTGTTTCCCACATGATGACAGGTGATCACATACGGGTCGGACAATGTTCCACTTTGCTCACATCTGACACCAAAGACCGTCTTTGAACTTTGAATTACAGTTTCCCTCCCACATATCACGACTTTTCATCACACACGCACATTCTACACTGAGGTCACATGAGGACACCCAAGCCTCCTGCACTCATTGATGACAACAAATACAGTTACAGGCTTAGAAAAGGCTAGTGAGTGGCCCACGAGTTGAGATCATTTTGTCACACAATATATACTCTATATTTCCTACAGGTGACCAGTGCACACTGAGCAAAAGCAGACAGAGGCAACACGTATGCAAACAAAGTGCTGGTGGTTTCATGTCTCCATGAACATACAGAGAAAAAGGGGCAACAGGAGAGGGTCTGTATGAACAGAAGAGAAATTTTGAGTTCCTGGTAGGTTTGTAGTTCTGTTGGTCTGAAGTGCCAAAGAGAACAAGAGCTTGTTGTCACAGCAAACCTCAATCAGGGAAGTCATCCACTGACTGTGGACAAAGGACAGAGAAAACCTCTTCAGCAGTCAAAACACTCCACTGTGTAAATCCAGCCCGTATGTTATCCTGGAGTGAAACTCTCCAACTTTGAATAAAGTAACTTCCATCTTCATTCCATACTCCTCTCATAGCAATACGGTCTGCCTGAACATGGTGGAGGTGGAACGACATCTGTATTGAACTGGACATAGTGTCTAACATGACCCTGCAAGTGAGTCTGATATCTCAACATAGGAACAGATTCCTATTCGGTAGAAAAATGTATTTATTTTGGTGGTGATTTGAATTAGGTTCTTCCACTGTTACATGATCATTCATTTTTGCGCAGAACCGTGAAGCCAATGCAGAGAAAATCACAATCAATCACAATAGTGTTATTTTTGACAAGTTGAAGACTAAATGAAAATGAACTGATGTTTCACTTAAAGAAGCCTTTCAATAAAATAATGTGTATGCCGTATCGAGATGGGAGGAGGCTGAAATCTGGTACCCTGCACCTGTTCCACACTCTGCTCCGGCCCTGTGAACCACATCTACCTTCACACTGTTCACTCACACAGCAGCGGCATGGATAACAGAGCAGCAGTATAACGTCATGACATGTTCAAATACACCTTTTTAAAACTCGATCGCAGAGAAAACCTACTTGTGTCCGAGCTCGTGAGCGATGGTGAAGGCCAGATTGAGTCCATTGTCCTCCGCTAACACACACTTCCTTTTGGCGCTGCAGACACCGCCCAGATACGCAATACCTGTAACACAGTGACATGACAGTGAGTTTCATAAATAACAGGGACAGCTGCGTTGTGATGATTGACTCTAGCTGATTATTTCGTCCAACATGCTGGGTAATATGCTTACATGAATCTCTCATTACACCTCAGCTGACAGCCAGATGAAACAATGGGGCTCTGTGAGGCTGTAAAGTTCATTGCAAAGAATACCAGATTATAAGATCCATGGTTTGTATTTGATATGAATGGAAATAAGCAGGTCTTATCAATACTTATACTATATATGAATATCAATGTATCACAGCAAGGCAAAGATATTAAATAGTCATATCAATGTTTGAGTCACTTTATGACAGAGTCACAGTGTGAAACCTGAGCTGCATTCAGGGTAACTTCCTGTTCCAGGCTGGTGGTAGCAGTAGTAGGTTTGTAGATATGTGTTACTGTAAATGAGAAGACGATCGAGTCTTTGTGGTCCCACAGTCCCCATTTCTGACCTAACTCTAACACAATATGTAGAAAACTATTATGAAACGGTAAATTGTCTGAACGTACTGTATGTGGAGCGTCTCTATTCTTATCGACCACTCAAAGCCCTTTACAATGGAAGCCACATTCATCCAGTCACTCACACATTCATACAGCGCTTTTTCCTACACATATAGCGCTTTACTGCCACACACGCATCACATCGGGGGGCAATTTGGGGATTCTTGCTTAAGGGCACTTCAACGAGTGTACTGGAATCGACCCATCGGCCTTCCGATTAGTGGATGACCCACAGGCACCTTCTCACACACTTGGCTGTACATTCGATCAGGGTAATAAAATACAGAAATGGCTTAAAGGCAGTGTTATTGCACCCAATGAGGAAACTTTTCATGTTTTATATGTTTTTATGGGATATACTGTACATGAACAAATATACATTCACTTTTTTCATCACAGATAAAGAAATGTATCCTACATTTCGACATTACTTCTGTTTAGAGTTTTGAATAAACTAAATAAAAATCCCAATAGCAGAAATCCAAATACACTCATTTGAGATTTAGGAAGTGTGATGTTGTGTAAATAGTCCTGTCAACACAGATGTCAAGCAGATGAACATTCATCCGCTATTTAACCATATTTAACAGCTGGCGTCTCCGAGCGGCCAAAGAGAAGTCATGCATCATTTTCTGTATTCCTGTGCTTCTGTGGTTATCACTTCAAAATATGTTTATGAGCAATTCTCAGTAAGTTCAGAAAAGCTGTGAAATATGAAGCTGATTAAAAAACAAATTAAAAAAAAGAACTTTCATTGTTGTCCTCATTCTTAACAATCTCCACCACTGGTATCAAAGAAAACACAAGCAGCCCAAACTGACTGGTTACAGGTCTTGCCGTATACACATGGTGGTCCTGTAGTTCCCACATGTAGTTACATCTTTAATGAGGCACCTGTCAGCACAGTCCACCACCTAACGGGATCCTACACATGAATTCACAGTAGCTATGCCTCATACTCTTCCATGAACAGCTGTGAACTCCCCCCCCCCGGTTCAGCTTAAGGATTCCTCGTTTTGACCGATTCAAAAATAAAAACGGATTCATCCAAAGAACATCAAACCAGTCACATCCGAGGCGCGGGACTTGGACAGGACATGTGGAACAATAGGCAGGATAAACACAACAACAAGTTTCTTATTAGACTTGACTAATGGGTCTGAAAAACCAGAGGTTCTAACCAACAATGAACGGTCTGACACGTTTACCGGACAGAAATCACTGGAGTCCAGTACTGATGGTACACAGACATGTTTGAAAGCAGGAGTGCTGAAGAATGTTTAAAAAACAGTCAATCAGTTTTCCATTCAGGCATGCTTCGAGGTGAAAGTTACAGAGCTCCATGTGTCAGCAAACACACACACACACACACACACACACACACACACACACACACAAACACACACACACACACCTGGATTTCTTTCTGTCTCTGGAGCCAGGCCATGGAGCCTCATTTGAATCCAGACAGGCATAAATTAAATCATTGATGATAATATGACAATTGAAGCCAGATGAGATTTCTGAACAAAAAAACCCTACTAGTCAAGTCAAGCAACTTTTATTTATACTGTGCCACATCATAACATTAGTTATCCTAGGGCACTTTTCATATAGAGCGGGTTTAGACTGTACTATTATCTACAGAGACCCCTCTGAGCGAGGCGAGGAAAAACTCCCTTTAAAAGGTAGAAATGAATTAGGGAACATTTATTATTTTTAATTGATTTCAATTCTGTAAATTTCAATGACATCTCAAAATTTAAAATACAACCTGAGGGACAGAGAATGACCTAGACACACAAATTATATCGCCATGCCAATAAAGCACGTTAATAATAATAATAATAATGATAAAAACCATCATCATAATAATAATCTTAATAACACAGTTAGCACAGATAGCTTCGCAGGCAAAATACCTTCAGAAAGCAACAGGAGGAGAGGGTTACGAAAAAGCACATAACTACAGGAGAGAGAGGATGCTGAGTTAGTAACAATTAATTAATGGGGCATGAATTTGTACAGGTTGAGAGGAGGAGTGAGGAGCTCAGTGCATCTTGGGAAGTCCCCCAGCAGACTAGACTTAGAGCAGCATAGCTCAGGGGACGGTTCAAGACAAGTCTGAGCCAGCAAATAATCTTAAAGAGGACAGTTTGAAGTCTAATCTTACATGTACAGGGAGTCTGCTCTCCTGGACCCAGACTGGGAGCTGGCTCCACAGGAGAGGAGCCTGATAGCTGAAGGCTCTGCCTCCCATTCTACTCTTAGAGACTGCATTTAGAGAGCAGAGTGTTCTACTGGGGCAGTAGGGTACTATGAGCTCTTTAAGATATGATGATGCCTGATCATTAAAGGCTTTGTAGGTGAGAAGGAGGATTTTAAATTCTATTCTGGATTATACAGGGAGCCAGTGCAGAGAAGCTACTATGGGAGACATGTGATCTGTTTTCCTTGAGAGAGAGAGAAAGAGAGAGAGATCAGAAAACCAGAGAGACGGGGGGGAGATCAAGTTTTGGCCTTATCAGCCAACATGGCAAATACTCGCATTACTTCACCGGTGCATGAAGCGAATGAGGCTTCAGGATTTAGGTCTGTGTGATAAGACAGAGCTGTTCAGATGAAACACAGGGGAACAGCTGGAGAAGTTCAAGCGGCCGTTAGCCCATTAGATAAAGTGCTGCAGTAAATTCACAAAGATGATATAAAACTGAGGTTTAATGGGAGATTTCCTGTTGTGTCACAAATCTGCAACAGCCTGGATTATTATCAAGATCCATTTGGTGTGGGTCCATTGGCCTCCTTTAGTTTACTGTGACACAGCAATCTGTGTTACATATGTCATATATGTATATTCTTGTAGTTCTCAGTCTGCAAAATCAGTCTGCTCTGTGGTAAGAAACTTATGGTTCTCTCTTGAATTAATTCAGTAGTCGTTTAGGTCTGCACAGGACCGCTAACTGTCTAACCTAGCACCTACATATGCCGCACATGCTCTCCACTGCAGACCAATTCATTCAGAACCTGGATTCACTAAAACACTGTTGACTGTGTGGGTTTAGCTTAAGAAGTTAAAACATGAGAATACATGGTGATATTTCTGTTGCAAACATCTTGAGGAAGATTTAGAGGACCAGGGCTGTCACAGGAAGAGTAATAAAGCATTTCCTTTCCTTTCCTTTCCCTCTTTCTGTGACACTCTGGGCCATCAGTGCTGGTAAAAACAAGCCCTCTGATTGGTTGGAGAGCTAATCAGTCACATCATATCCTTAGACTTAATAAAAAAATAGGTTTAAAAAAAGGGTTCCAGTTATTTATTCCCATTTTTAAACAGTCTTTCAAATTCTATTATTTATTCATGAATTGATCGATGTAATTCTAAATGTTTTATTTAATGAGAGTTTTATGCTGTTTTTGTAAATCCATTTTAAAATCTTCAGTATTTATTGATGGATTAATCGTTCATTTCTAAATTCTTTTTACAATTCTTATTTTCAATGCCTATTACAATATGAAATTAAGGAAATGTTTCATTACTTTTCCTGTGACATTCCTGGTCCTTCATAGATTATTGACATTAATCCTGGAATGGCTCATTCATTCCAATACAACATTAAAAAATAGCTAACTGAAAGTACTCTGTATCTACATCAAGTGATCACATTAGCTTAGCTCAGTTTCATAAATGCTGGTATGCTAACTGCATGTTTTTGTAGATTGTTCCAACAGTTTTGTTGCTGCTTCTTGTTCAATTCTCAGTGGATCGTTGATTCATTTAGCCCATAAATCTGTTTTTTTTCCAAGAACCTGTAACATCACAATATTACTGACATAGACATAAGATAAGGTTGTGAATGATATAAAATATTAGCTTTGTGAAAATTAAGATCTTTTTGGAACAAAAATCCATCAAATGTTTATTTATCCATATGTAGTTACCCTGTGCAGGACAATCTACAGTCGCGAGTTCACCTAATCTGTAATTGACCAGTCGAAGGAAAACCTCACAGACAATAGTGGTCTGGTGGATCAGAGCAAAGAACATTTATAAACGAAATATTGTTTCTTGTTGACTATTCAGTCCCCAAGCAGTGATTACACAGAACAGAGGAGAAGCTTTTGTACAGTCTGGCAGAGGAGGTTTTAATACTGCAGTACTTGCTGGATGGTAAGGAAGTGAAGAGGCTGTGGCTAGGGTGAGTGGGGCCATGAGGGTGCACCATGCCTCATGGATTTGTTTTATGGAGGGAAGAAAAGCACTGATGATCCTCTCTGCTGTGCTCACTGTTCCCTGTAAGGTCTTCTGGTAAGAAGCCTCTTTGTTCTCACGGCAGACAGTGATGCAGGTGGTTAAGATGCTCTAAATGGTCCCTCTGTACAACACGGTGAGGATGGGTGGAGGGGGGCTGATGAAGGAAGTGGGCACTCTGCTGTCCTTTCCTGGATTGTGCTGTCACATGTCAGGTCCA